TGTATAGATCCACTTTCGTGTTCGGCTGTGCATTTTAACCCCGGCGATTATGATCAGCACCGCCATTTTGCTTTATTGCCCGAAGTATTGTTTAAATTTTCATAGAAAACTAAGCTACTATAAATTAAATTATCAACCAATAAAACGACAGTGTTATTCAGTCATCAGTAATATAAAAACCAACGTACATAAAGTTAAACTCCCCGTGTTAGACCTTAGGTAACAAAGCATTCAAACTCGCTTGTCTGTCGCCATATTGCTAATTTGAATGCAACAACGGATTGAAGGCAAATTTTCACGATAATATCTGCTCCAAAATATTGCATATTTTACACACAAGTGAACCCTGTTAGTTTTCCCTTCTGCACATACATTCTCAGAGAAACTACAAGACTAAAAGAGGTAATTTACCTACCTTGAAATCGCCCACATGCAACAGAGATCTACCTGCGCACGATCACAACGCGACTAACTACTTCCGCCGTACGAACGTCTTTCCACAGTTAATCGGATTACCCTTTGAAGAATTGCCGAGTGTCCAATCTTTGGTATATTAGATCTTAGCCTCCACTTATCGTGTTTACAAGGAAAGTGCACGGCGCCGGCATCGGCATCGCCATCGCCATCGCCATCGCCATCGGCGACGACAGACGCAGGTGATGGCAATATGTACAGACACATCTGTGTCTGTACATAATTAAAACAATTCCCAGAATAAAAGCATGTGTCAAAAAACACGCACTTTATATCTTAAAACTACATTAATCACGTCTTTTTGTTGAAATCATTTAAGGACAATTAAAACGGATACATCTTGGTCATTTTCAACAGAAAATGGATGGCCACGTTGACATTAGCATTTAAAAGGAATATTATGTGATTATGGTAGTTAGAGTCTGGAGATGTGACTTACGAGCTTCCAAGTGGTCGATACTGTTCTCGACACTCCAACACGATATGCCATAGGGTGGTGAGTCTTGCAGCATCTGTAACTCACGCTTCATTCGTGCAGCACGATGCATTTTTTTAAATCCCTTGTGTTTCAAAAATTATCACGTTTCTATAAGTGATACAAATCATTCGTCAAATCATTTTTCGCGGCATTTTGCATGTGCTCCTATTTCAATGACGTCACCATTATATTTACACCGTAAGTGGTGATGTCTATCCTATTGCCAGTCGGAAGCTCGACTCCAGTTTTGATTTGGAACTATGTCGGAAGACGTGACCCAAGGGACATGTGAAAACACAATGTTGAAGTCCAAAAACGCAGATGTACCAGCATACGTTACATTCTGCAACAGGACTTCGAGAAATGTTGATATTTTCTGGTTAAATTATAAGGGGAAACGAGTGAAATACTGCAATTTATCGCCTCAACAACGAAACTTTTATGTAGACACCTATGTTACACATCCATGGGTTTTCAGAGAAGCTGGTACGGAATATATCATGACTGCAAATAAAAAGGACGTGTTTTTTCCTAAAGCATGGGATGGTGGACAAGAACGAAGCATAACGTACATTGATATACCAGGTATATATTCAAGCACATACTGGCAAAACTTTTTCTATTCGTCAAATGCATGAGTGGATGAGAGTGAATAATGGTGCAGGAGAATGGATGTGAAAGGTTTATCTGTGTGGGTAATATCATAATTTTGTTAGGGAGACCATTAACCTGTGAAAAAACATATTGTGGGGGAGTAACATGAGGGGAATGGAAGAAAAATTCACCCCAGGACAGTACTACTACTACATGTACTAGAGTAGTGCAGATACATATATATACTAAAATCAGTACATTGCAAGCAGCTTATTTTATTTTTACCGACTGTGGTAATCATCTAGATAATAATTCCATGGAGGAAAAATAATTGAACTTCTGATGGACTGGAACAAAGATAAGGAAACCCTTTTTTTTCTTTTTACAAAAATATTCAACCAACCATCTTCAACTGTTCCACCCAGTGCAACCTACGGCGTATATATATATATATATATATCGATGCACCTACAATACTTTTGCTTCCTTTCCAGTGTCATAGTCTACCATACAGCACACATTGTACAAATTATGGTTAAAACAATTTTGTTTAGTGATGGCTCCATCATTTATACTATTTTGTTGGATTTTTTAATTTTCAGTGTATTCCTTGAGGGAAAGATGTATTCAGGTTCTTAGGAAACTACTCCCTAAAGAGTGTATGGAAGATCTGGACATACCCAAGTTGCTGAAACAAGAACTGCTTGACATGCAGTGTCAAAGTCATGATACATATAAAAGTGTTAAAAGCAGCACCCCATGACATACACTACATTGAAAAGTCTAAATTGACCAATAATTCACTGTGATCATTCATTACCGACTGGATGACCTTACTAGTAATTAAGTGGATCTCTGCCCCCAGAGCAGAGGGACATGGATTCAGCTCTGCCGGGAACGTACCAGTTCTTCTTAAAGAGTACCCACTGTCTCCCTGCTTGGCACTTGGCTCTGTTGGAAGTAGAGGTTAGGTACCTGGTCTGACAGTGAAATATTCCTTTAGTATGCCAGCTTTAAGCACCACGTTTTGCAACGCCTACCCGGGTTGATGTAACATCTACAGTAAATCTGAATGTACTCCATACAAGAGGCCAGCAGAGTGGTGCAGGTAGTTTTCCTGGACCTCTCTGTCTTTTGACCAATTGGTAGCAATTTTTTTTATAAAGAGATGATGAAGCCTGAACTATTTAAAGTACTAGTATGTGTACTTGGTTTGAGGGTTATCCAATGGCTGTTTCTATTTGGATTTTTATCTTGTGAGGACAGAGTTTAGTTTCAAAAGTTTCCATAAGTTACTGTCTCAAATGGCAAATATATAGAGATTTTATTAAATTCTTTAAAATTTTTTTGACTAATTTCAAAGTTTTTTTATTTATTTTATTTTTATTTTTTATTTTTTCATTTCAGTAGACTAGCATGTAGTGTTTCCTGTGGAATTTAGTTTCATTAATCCATCCAGGTGTCATTGAAGTTCTTGATGACAAACTACCCTGGTGCTGTACAAGCTTGTCAGCAGCATGTTGTTGGCAGATTCATTGGACGTCAAGTCATAGGCACCCCGAGTGTCAGGGCACTGTAAAGAACTCACTATACCTGTTCATGTGTTGGCTTTATGGTGCCCCTTAAGAATAGAGACAATGTTGAGTATCTGTCAATCAAAGGAACTGCTCTGCAGTGAATCTGCATTTGAATGTCATTAGTCCAAAATGATATGTAAAACAGATTTAATTTTGCTTCATTTAATTTCATTTACTGTATTTAAGATGTTAATTGAAAAATAAATAATATATTTTTTAAAAGAAAAAGACATTCCATATGTTTTTGTATTTTATTGCTTATCAAAAAAAAAGTTGCACTTGGAGATACAAACACAATACACGTGCTTGCCAAGTGCCAAGTTTGACATCTACACTGTATGTCCAATACCTCTATAAAGACTGCGCAATGACTTCACCAAATTTAATGCATTCTACAGTGTAAGACAGCTGTGTTTTATGGAAAATACATGGATGTGTTTTACAATTTCTGGGCATGAGCTTTTTCCACAGAAACACAAATTTTTTGAAATTTAGTTCTGATCCAGGGTTTAGCCAGGTAGACGTCCAGCTGTAGAAAGCGTGTCCAAGCAAAGGAATATCTACACTGTATTTGACGACTGGACGACATTTTTAATATTCTCATTGTCAAAGATAAAAGTTAAATCAGACTTGAACATGCGAACTTTTACCAGTTAGCCTTAAATTTGATGTGCAGTAAGCTCAGATAGTATAATTGGAGCATGATACAATACCAGGGGTACCACACAATTGTACGGGCTTTGATACGATAGCCATGTCGATTAGCATTGCAGGTAAGTAGCAAGTGGAGAGAGGTGTTACCACACCTAATATTTGTTTGAATGTTTGTTAAAAAATGGAATTGGAAAAAAAATGAAAAAGTTTTAAAGTTACTGTTGATCCTGCTCCTGTTTGCAATCAGTTTACTATTTAAGGTCCAAGGCAGTTCTATGTTATCAAAAGCTTATATTTGCCAAAGTGTAAATGGCTGAAGCTGCAATAAAGACACTAAAATGCACTTTGATTCCTCTTTATTTATTACAAATATGAAAGACCAATGATAAGGTGAATAGTAAATGGTGCTCACACTATGAAATTTGAGTTTATGTCAGTAATTCAGTGGTCCTCATCGCAAGCCTGAAGCAAGAAAAAAATCAGTTTTGTTTATAAGGCCATGAATTGCACAATAAATATCAACTAATCTTATTATTTTCTAAGCATGTTTTCTAAATGCAGCACCTGTATATTTGTAGTTGTGATTCATCCCAACTTTATTTATCCTGTTAAAAACCTTGCTTTTAGTTAAGAAGTTATACAGACTTCGTGTTTTATTCAGGGATGAAAGTTATTTTCATTTTAGTATGCTATACAACATTCAAATTACAAAGAAAGTGTTCACAGTTTCCGAATAATAAGAGCACCTTTGGCCCTCTCTAATGCCAAATCATTAGGACTTATTTTTTGCCTAAGTAATATACTTAATTCTGATTTATTTCAACATCATTATGGTGAATTGATATTACAGAAATTGTATAACAATCCTGTTAATGGAGCAACAGTGCTGATTATGAATTTTTGTGCTTCCTTCCATAATGCAACATATTTTGCAAAATCCAAAGAAATGGAATTGGATGAATAAGTTTCATCCTCTTGATGCAGATTTTATTGCTGACAGTCATTGAAGAGCAACAGATTTACTGTTTCGCTTGGAATGTTACTGATCTGGTTTTTAGCACTGAAAGATAAAATCAATACTTAAGTGTCAATTACAATACCTGCGTAACAATATATCTGTACAGAACAACAAATTTCTGAAAATTAAAGCATGTTTTAATAATTTAGACAATTACAAAGCAAAAAAAAAAAAAAAAACAAATATCAATTAAATAATAGGTTTTTGATATCAACTTTTTTCTTTTTTTTTTTTTCTTTTTTTCTTTCAATTTCTTTGCCATTTCTTTGCTACAAGTGGTATTCATCCAACTCTGATTGGCCAGAATCATAGGGACAACTGCACTTGACATCTTTGTTTATTTGGACTGGGAGGGATTTGTAAAGATAACTTGAATTTATAGTATTTTATTATAATTATAATTATTATTTACCATACTCTGCACAGGCCAGTTTTGCTGTTGTTTGGGTCCTCCATGCATGTTATATGTTTTAAATATTTCTGTTATTTTAAAAATATTTCTGTCCATTTCGGTAACCCCCTGTTTTAAGATCATATATTTACAAAATAAAGAAATAGTGCAAATAAAACTTAAAAATAGCTTTGTCTTCTGTTAGTTTAACTTATCTGATAAGAGTTTTAGACTTTCATTTCATTCAATCTGTTAGGGACCATTCCCACAGCTTTGGGTCAATCTATCTCCCTCGGAAGTCGCAATATATTGCTATCAACTTAACTGGCTTAAATGTCTGTCACGCCTAGTAAAGCTGTTAGGGGGTAATTTTCATTACCCTGTAGCTGATTCCGTAGGCATGACAGACATTTAATCCAGTTAAGTTGATAGCAATTTAGTGAGACTCCCCAGGGAGATAGGCCAATCATGATAGATCGATATTGGTATAGTAACCAGTCCTAGTTTACTTTATCAGATCAGAGATTTAGACTTTCATTTTAATCTATCTTTTGTTTGAAATCACTAAAATGAAACTCAAGTGAAATTCTGCATGCTGAACAATATTCCACTGCATACTGACTTTTTGTATTTAAATTCCATAATACTGAATGATATAAAGACTCATTTTTTTCTTCATCATAAGTATATTAAAACCAAAATAAAGTTGCATTCCGTTGTTTTATTTTAAGCAAACATGCTATTTAGTACCACTAGCATGGGCACTGGTGATACTCATGGTTTTAGTCCAACCCGCCTCGTGTTGGTTTTTGAGCATAGTTTTACTACAATAATAGCCATTTTAGTGGTGAAATGCAATATAATATATTTCCATGTGTTGTTTACAATGTATTTCTTGTGGAATTTTGAATCTCAAAGGAAGAGTAATTATTGCTTTAATGGTGTCCATCTAAGATGAAAACAGAATTACCACAGGATCATAAAATGTGAAATTGATAGCCTTATAATGCACAAGTAATTTTAGCCCTAAGAAAACTTAGCCAAGGCACACCAACTATTTCAGGAAGGTCTGATATAAAAGGGGTACGACAAAGGTATAACGCAAATCACTATTTTACCCTTTGAAACATGTCAGTGAGCAATAGAAAGTGTCATCTTATATTATTTAAAGGTAGTCTTCATATTGTGCGTATTATTGTATTGTGAATCAATCTCTCACTCTAAAAACTTTCACCCTCTCCGCCTCTCACATGCCTCCCCATGTGTCGTCCCAATGGTGCCGAGATTTAATGACTGTACCCCCGCAGGGACGATGCATGGGGATGCGTGTGAGAGGCGGAGAATCTATTAAAAGATTAGGCGGTTTTTCTTTCATGTACGTCTGCCATATTTAGTTCCAGGATTTGTAAAGCCTGGCTCAACTCGTTGGGAATGCAATCTATGTATACCAACAGTTATTCATTGTAAATAAAAATAAATACTTTTCAACCAATATCAATACCAAGTTGTTTAGCAAAAAGCTGGAATGCAGTCAGCTTAAGTCTAGCAAAAGAGTGATAACATTTTGTGTTAGCGATGTACACATACCCAAGTTCTTTCAGTTTATTGGCCAGCTCCTCTGGTGTTAAGTCATTATCTTCAGACAGTAGCACAGCTGCAACACCAGCCTATGAAAATATTATAGATTTCAACTTGGAGTGTTTAGAAAATTCTCCCAAAATGTTAGTGTGTATCTGGATATATAGAAATAATTAGTACTGAGATTTTTCACATAATTAGAGCAAGTATAGGCATATAAGTGTAAAATGCGATGTCAGAAATTCACTTACCACATGAGGAGATGACATAGATGTTCCTAAATATAAGACAAAACATATTGACATAATTATAACCAAATACTATAGGGAATATATGCATCAGACACAAAAAAGTACTAACCAAGAGGTAATTGAGTCTGTTACAAAACTTATTGTTTTATACATGTGCTGTCTTATAAGGCCCATCTTTCTTTTCATTTTGTAAAATAATTAAAACACTTAATATCAGTGCTATAACAATACACACTTTTTGAGTAAAACTCTTATCACCTGCATCTATCAGCATTGTTGTCGCCATGCACCTTCAGAGATAACACGATAAGTGGAAAACCATTTTTTCTGGCTTTAAACTTACAGAACTGATGAATGTTAGTAAAATAAAGGTCAAGTTTATTGACCATTTTTCCCAAAGTTTTACATATATATTGTTTTGTTTTGTTTTTCTTATTTTCCTTTCTTTTTCCAGAATGTATGTAATACAAATAATTTATTATTTAAGCTATTGCCTTTAAACTTACTTAACTGTTGAATATTAGTAAACAAAGTGTGGGGAATCCCCTTTAAGACCATCCCAGGCCCCCACATTACATTAAATACGTAACTTTTTATGATAAAACCCTAGGGGTTTGGGCTGAATAGGCTCATATCTTTGGATAACGCTACGTATCTGTAATGCTGCAGAGATTCCCAGGTGCCATGTCTTAAACTCTGCACACGGAAAAGAATGAAACGACTCCATGTTCTAACTTCAACAGAATATATTTTGCTACACTAATAGCTACATGGTACAAGCCTCTCTCTCTTCTATCCAGTCCTCTTTTAGATTTAAGTTCACAGATTTTATGCTAAACTTTATCAACTAAATTGTCAACCACATAACTTAAAAACTGATTGGTTACTTCAGACACAAGTCCACCCCCTCATATTGGGCACCTCCAATAACTCCCATGTAATCAAGCTCTAACAGATTACTGGCTTCGAAACAGTATTATATGAAGCTACTTATACAACATGACTTCCCATGTATGAGTTTTATGAAACAATGACTTCCTCTGATTGAATTAATACAACATTATGTATGAAAGTTTTAAAAGTACTAATTACACTTTTTCTGTACTGTGGTTCCTGACAAAGGGTAGAGTTAGAAAATTGGATTGCATTTTTCAAAAAGTCATCCTGTAATTTTTTTTCAGCATGTATGTAATACAGTTAGCATAAGTAGAGGAAAAACTGGTTGACCCATTGTCTTCAAACTTACAGGACTTGTGAATATATATGACAAAAATACAGGCCAAAACTTAATTATTTGAATGTCTGTTACCTTTGGTATAAAATCAAAATTTGGTGATGATAATGCCATTAACCATTATGTAATATTGCTTTTAATATGAAATTGTGGTATGAATCAATATTGGTGTTTATGCTCACAAATGGCTCAAGATCACAAATGGCAATTATTGCAGTCTTAATGGATAAGATAAAGCAAATCCTAACATACTGAACAACCTTTTGCTAAAAAAAGAACAGTAGAAGGTAACTATAAAAAAAAACAATGAAGACAACTATAAGGTACAAAAAGTACAATTAATTAAAAAATACACACCTGATATTGTTTTAGTTGCTGAGTCTCCATCAATCCAAGTAGATTCAATGTTTAAACCCTATCCATTAAAGAAGAAATAAAGTTAATATGAGAGAAACATTCAAAATAGTATTCACAGAACACAGTCTTAATGCTGGACATAAATATTGTGTGGAAGGCCTGCAGGTGTTTTCTGTTTCATTGAGATATTGATCAAAATCAACTATCTGCTTCCTTTTTTAACTGAAACTGAAAGATGCTTTCAACATTTATTTTTTTCCATCAATTTTGACAACAGTCAAGTTATTAGTTTCAAATATCATTAAGCATGTTAGATGGAGTTACCAATTTGCTACATGGCTTTCCTGACTGTCTTGAAGCATAATCATCTATCTTAGCGTACTGAGTCATCTCATATTCTTACCGGAGCATAGATGTCATTACATTTCCCCCAATTTGAGAAATAGCATGAAGAGTCATTTATGTCAGTGCATCCAACAGTGACCCTGAAAGGAAATGTTTTGTATTTTAAATTCTCTTGGTTTGTATTTGACAGATATGAGGGCACAAAATGATTCTGAATTTGTCAGAATAAAAAATGACAATTTTGTAATTTCATGATACCAACAGTCAAAATAAATTCCTAAGTTAAAGTTAATCTGTATATTCTCTCTCTCTCTCTCTCTCTCTCTCTCTCTCTCGTACACACACGTACACACACACACACACACACACACACAGATTCTTACGCATTTTCAGCACTAGCTGGTGAGTAATTGCAGGCATCAGCATTATCATTTCCAGCAGCTGCAACAAGAAGGACACCCTGAAACAAGACAATTTTAATTTATAAAAATTGTAATCTGGGTTGGGTTCTGTAGTTGGTTTTAGCCTCCATCTCTAACCAAAATCAAGAGACAAGTGGGATCTGAGGCCAATGAGGTTACATGAGGTGACATTTTGCACTATATTTTTTTTTAAAAACTCAACATCAGCTTGATAGTCACTGTTGTGTAAGAACCAACAGATTTCAAAATCATGCACAGTAGCGTATAATTAACATCCAGAGATCTCGAAGGTTTTCATTGCCAAATATTGAAAAGGATCACATGGAAAAAGTTCTGAATTAATTAATAATTTACAGTTAACATATGGGGCATTGCAATTTAAGTATTAAAACATCATCAAAACATGTTCAAATGGAAAAACAAAATAATCAGCCTCTTTAGATATGTCTTGAACAGCTATTTCCTTCACTCATGGTGACAAAATTAGTTTCAGGTGTTCAGTTTGACTACTTTGTCATTGTCACTATATATATTCTTACAAATTGATTGTTCAAAATGATGGAAAAATCCTTATAAGCACTCAAATTTGTAAGTTGTATAAAATGCAAAAATCATAACCATTTCAAGATGAAATGGCAGCAACATGTATAGGTAACACTATTGGATCAGAGGGCTTACCGCGGCAAACATGGAGTCTACAGCTTCATTCATTGCAAGAGTAAAGCCGCCTCCCAAGGACATGCTGAAATTAACAAATAAAGCTGTGTTACATAGCTTGTTCCAAAAGAAATTCAAACTGAATAAGTTAATAGATGAATTATACCACCAGTATATTATAACATTGTAACAAGTTTTGGTGGTTCTACTATGCCAGAGTAACTTCTAAAACCCTTTTGCAACCTTTTTGCAACATTTTTAGACTAATTAGTGGACTAAATTATCTCCAAACATACATGCAAGGTTTCATACTTGACTTATATAAGAATGTCATCCTTTGCAGTATGATTTTACAATTTGTTTTTCTTGAAAGACCCTTAGAGATGTTCTAGCTGTTGGTTTTTCATATCCCTTAAAAGTAATCTATATATGTGCATGATTTTCACCAGCAAAACAAATTTTCCTTTTTTCAACTCATTAATAATTGCAAGTGGTCTCTTCATTTAAATTTGATGTTTTATTCCATTTTTAAATAATTTAGACTGACCAGTCATTCAGAACAACACCTGCCTAACATTAACGATACAGTTGCTAGGCAGTCTTGTTTCTATGTACTTCACAACACAAGAAAATGTTACATTCTTTGTGTCATGGCCTTGTACCCTGTAGACTATTACATTTGTGAAGTGTAAAGTTGTTCACTTCACATAAAGCTATTATTCAAGGAGTTTCGTCGTCTTTAAAATGACTGTTTTTTTTTTCAAAGAAAGACATAATTACTGTATCCTTTATTAAGTCAATCCATTTTGTTTAAAATGCATGTTAAAATCACATCTACTTGAAATTTGCATCTTTACTAAGAATAACCAAGTTTTGATAACTTATACAATGTATCTATTCAGTGCCAACAAATGTGGCATCAGCTCTTTCACTGAGTTCATCAATGAAGCATTACAAAAATACAAGGCTGATTTTTAGTCAAAAAAACATTACATAATTTTATGTCTCCTCTCTCTCAAATTAATAATTACCAAAAATATTCACACCATCATCCAAGTAAACAAACAACAGGGAATTTGACGTTGACAATTTGTCAATCAAGGCCAATTTTATTAGCTTAAATCTCACTAATTATTTGTATTGAAAATTAAATTATTAGACTTTTTCTACTTGCATCACCATATTTTCCAAATTATCAACTTAAAAAGAGTGACACACCCCACATAGCACAAAGGAAGCTGGCACACCAGTCAGGATGTCTTAATTCATGTAGAAAGTCTGTCACATGTTCCAAATACATGTATTTAGCATACATTGAGTTGTCTTGTTTCAGAATATTATGGTTGTAATAATTATTAATTATATGCAATGCAAAAAATATCCCCTAAATTCATGTAAAATTCAAAAATTTTATTGGGAAAATTCATAGGGGAAATGAACTCTGCTTCATTCTTTTACTTACTTTGCAATAGATGTTTTCTTTCCTGCTTTCTGGTGCTCCTTTACAACCCATTCCATACCTTTAATAACACCCCTGGAATAGATGTACAAACGTGTGGACTATGATATATATATATATATATATATATATATATATATATATATATATATATATATATATATACCCAGACAGCCTCAATAATCTGGCCCACGTCTGGCCCAGATCTGGCAACGTCTGGCAATATCTGGGCCAGATTTTGCCAGACACTTGCCAGATCTGGGCCAAGTCTGGCAAAGTCTGGCATTTATGCCACATTTTGCCAGACACTTGCCAGATCTGGGCCAAGTCTGGCAAAGTCTGGCATTTACGCCACATTTTGCCAGATGCTGCCCAGACTTGGGCCAGATATGGTACTTTCATTTTCAATTTTTATTTTCTATTTATTTATTTTTTATTGACCAGTGAGCTGAATGCATTGAACTGACGTCATTTGATAAATTTTGATTTAATTTATCTCTCTCTTTTTTCTTCAAAGTCNTATATATTATGCATTTGCTGCATTAAAATTGACTAGTGTAAACAGATATCTGTGTGTAGTATGCAAAGACTTAAAGCAATTTACTGGATATCATTCTAAAACCACATACTATTATATGGACTTCCAACCATATTTCCCAAACCATGCCTCTACAGAAAGTATCGTTGTAAGTTTCAATGTCAATAACCTATTAACAGCAATCCCACATAACATGGGCTTTTATAGGAATACAGTTCTGGTTGGAAAAAATTTCCTCAATGCATATCCAAAAATTAAAATGATTTAATCACGAATTTTAATTTTGTTTTTTTTGACAGCTTTAAGTTACAAATTTGATACTGCTCAAAAGAATTTAGGGAACAGTTAAAAAAGCGGACATTAAAAAAGAACATTTACTGTTCAATAACTAAAATGTAAAAATGATAATTGTTAACAATTGATTTAGTGAATCTTGCCTTGTGTTTACATTTCACTATTAAGTACCATTATGCAAATAAGCATAAAAAGGAATTGGGGGAGGGCAAGAATCAAATTCACAGCTTAAATATTCATTTCAGTATCATATGTGTCTGCCTCTTGAAACCATATATATATATATATATATATATATATATATATATATATATATATATATGCTTCACAAACTTTCTAACTATAGGCATTAGATTATATCCAGAGAAAAGACTTGAAAAACTAAAACATCATTGTTAGGTATATTTGTTTTGGTCACAATTTTTATCGATTGTTAATTTCTAGTATAAACAAGAGAGAGACAGAGAGAGGGGAGCTTACGTATTTGAACCAAAGCCATTTGCATTAAGTACTTGTACGGCTATCGCTGTTGCTCTTTTGGCAATGCCATAGTGTTGGCCTATAATTGTACCTGAATAATAATATAAAAAGGAAAGTCATGCGTGCGTGCAAGGATGTGTACGAATTCCCAAAGCGTGGGCACCACAAAATTCTCCTTTAAAACTTTCTCAATGTGATAGTACTTATATATAAAATTCACAACCGAAAATAAGTTAAATGACACACTTTCTGGCTTTCAGTAGAATACACAGAAGCTGGTGATTATATGAGTACGCTGGATAATACTGTACAAGGCTACATCCCTACAGGTTCTTGCGGCAATACAAAGTATCTGTACCCCCCCCCCCCCCCCCCCCCACCCCACCCCCCGCATCGATACTCCCGCGCACTGTTACTTCCCCTACAGCTCATAGAATCCCTCCCAGCAAACAAAGAACGTTATCATAACGTTACCATAACGTTTAAATAACCAAAAACACGTTATGGTAACGTTATAGTATCGTTCTGTGTTTACTGAGCTCGACTTTGGTTAAAATGCAAACACCATTCTTGATTTTAAAAGCTTCCTGTGAAACGATTTTTTTTTTGTCAAAAGTGGCCCCCTTGGAACCAATAAGTGACATTTTATTCGAAATCTGGTGGAAAAATAAGGAAACAATTACTTAAATTGGTCTGCTTTGTAACTTAGAACAAAGTCTTTCTGTCATGTAAGACTTTTTTGTGCAGCTCGACCGTACAGCTCTTTGTGATTTTTAAGAAATGTCTGGATACTTCATTTCGTTCTGGAGAAATACTATACCTGCAACATGAGTTCCATGGCCGTTTAAATCTTCTTCGGTGTCTGGATCCATAACCGTGCTTGTTCCCTTGAAATTTTAATGAAGATCGCATAACAGTAAGCAGAAATATAAAAGCAAATCTAGTTTATAATAGATTAATGCTAAAGAAGCACAGAAGACTATTTTTCAGCATGATCAGTATCGAAGTACATTACATTAGCAACAAAGTTAAGAATTTTAAGTTCACCGTCATTTGAAAATTACTTAGGTCTGTGTCAACAGTACCGAATGTGAAGGACCTACCCATTTAGCTTGTTGTTCGCCATTGTACGTAAAATCTTCATGGGTTGTCCTTATTCCCCTAAAAAATCAATAACATTTTCTAGAAATAAAGCTTGTTTCAAGTTAGTGATAAGCTAACAGATGGAGGGCTTTTTCCATAAAGAGACCGAAAGCACAAAGATGCAGTATGTCTTCAGAAGGACACAATTCAAAAGGGCTTAAGTTCTGGAGAAATTGAATACAATTTTTATTTTGTCACTATACTAAGGGATCATCACTAAAGGTTTAAAATTTGTTTTTAATAAACCAAAATGAAAAGAAAAAAATACAGTGCAGTGTTTTCCGAGAATTTACAGATGCTTTTTATGATAGAAGGCAACAAAACAAAATGATATATACTTAGGCTTCATTCACATGCAATGTCTATTTTCTAAATTCTATTTTCTATTCGCGGTATGTCTTATGATCACGGTCTGTGCCCTGAATCTCCCGCGGCGTAATTACTGGCAGCTTATAGTAACTGGCTCGCGCTGCCAGTAATTACGCCGCGGGAGATTCAGGGCACAGACCGTGATCATAAGACATACCGCGAATAGAAAATAGATTTTTAGAAAATAGACATTCCATGTGAACGAAGCCTTAATATAAAATGTCTTACGTATCGATCACATAAACAGTTACGTCTTGTCCACCAGTAGTGTCTGTAAAATGAAATAATCTGAATTATTTGAAAGGGAAGGGATAGGCCCCTATTTCAGAAAACTTAAAATTTCACCTTGATGAGAATGAATTGCTACGTATGTTCAAAGTAAACAAGAAAAATTATGCTTTTAAGTCGCTTCTTTATACTATAATAAGGAACCAGTGAAGTTCTGAAAGTTTGAACAGATTTTGTCCGTTGAAGTGTAATTTAAAATAGACGTTAAAATAGCTGTAAATTCTTTATCTGACCATGTTCATATAATAAATCTGGATTGAGCTCTTTCCAGTCAGAGTCAGAGTCTGATTCCGGGTCCGAGTCAGGGATCAAGGTTGAGGTGCGTGCCAAACCCTGGAAATTATAAAAGTACTTTGAAATATTTTACAATTTCAACGCCAGCAAATATCCAACCAAACTGTGTACTACATACAAGTCCATTTAAAACTCAAGTGCAACTCAGTGTGATTCATCGGATTTTTGTTTGTTTGTCTGTTTGTTTTTATTATTATATAGAAAGGATTATGAAGTCGCGGCTGAAGTTGGAGCCACTCAAACTTTGCAAGCAAGGACAAACGGTGCCCCTGGCATGCGCGTTGGAAGTCTAAGGGACCATTCCCACAGATATTTGGATTGATCTATCTCCCTGGGGAGTCTCACTAAATTGCAATCAACGTAACCGGCTTAAATGTCTGTCACGCCTAGTAAAGCTGTTAGGGGGTAATTATCTATCAATCTAAGTATGGGAACCCAGTCTAAGCGTCCACGTGCACTGCGCTGTGGATGGTCCAGATGGTACGTTGGGATTTATTTCCTTGTTCACTTAGGCATTACGAAAATAAACATTATCCTGCTCTCCCATAATGTTGTTGCAACCAAAGAGGGTCAGGGGGATCCTGACATTTTGATTTCAAACAAAACAATTTAAAGCCAAACGTTGCCACCAAATTGTGATTGACAACCTTGTCGTCAACCATGCCATTTTCATTATGATATCCTACTTGGTTATGGAGTTACGTCAGAAACCGGTGTAACGAAACTGAAGGTCCGTGTTAATTACAATGGTTAGGGTTAGCCTGACCTAAATGGGTCAAAAGCTAGGGCGAGACTTGCCTGTACAAATGAATGAGAAAAAAACTCTCTATCATGGGGGACTCTAGCTGTGTCACATTACAACGGTCACTGTGTCACACCAAAACACAGGATTGGCATGGCATGGAAAATAAAGTAACAAAAGACAGGGTTTGTAGGCTTGCTCTTTTAGTGTTTATTTTAATGCAGTAAATTGAAGATATGTGTTTCACGTAAAAGAAACGGGAAAAACTATTATGTAGAATAAAGACCTTTATAGCACCGATACCCCCAATTAATGAAGTTGATATATACATTATGTATAGACTTGAAATTTAATATGGAATACTTTTCCAAATTATTTTTCTCTGATTTTCCTATTCTTCTCACTGATTAATGAAAAGAATAAACCCCTGGGAGATGGATCGACCCTGTTTGACCGATCTAGGTATGGGAACCCAGTCAAAGCAGCAAAGAAGTATATTTAGCGACCTCAAGTTATAAAATAACCATTAAAAGCATTATTTGAATCTTCATATTTTCCAAATTAACAACTGTTAAAGAGTTACACGCCCCACAAAGAACACATCTGTCAGTGTCTAGCCACTACAATAGTTAGTATAGGGCGTCTATCTACAAAGTAACAAATAATCCTTATAACAATTTTAATATTAAAATATAAGGTATATTATCGAACTTGAGTATTCGGCTGATCATTGTTAGGACCACGTATTAATTAAGCTACTGGTAAGTCTGTTGCTGATTATGCATATTTTGAGTGCACGTGCAAGAACATTACCACGCAGATCCCTCTTTCCTTACTGTAATTTTGTTTAAAATCCCAATTTAAGATATGGTAACCCCTCTTACGTCTATGGAAACATCCTAACTTGTTATTAAAAAACTGCCGGCACGCACTGGCCAAGGAAGTGATGACTATTTATAAGATTTAAAAGAAATGGCGTTTAAAATGGAAGAACACGAATACAGTATTTCGAATGAATGAGATTCATGAACTTGTTGATTTTTAAGAAGAAATTAGCAAAGCCAAAGGTAATTCGTTTGCGTTATCTGTAATACAGTATGGTTTTGAGGCACTAGCACTCATCCCCTAGTACTTACACACTTACCCAAGGAGCGCCTTTTTGTTCCGCACATGAAAATGCCTTAACCTGCATATTTGGCTCGACGTACTTCACAATTGGGTCGCTACGTACATGTTCTAGATGGCTAAAGAACAAGAAACAAAGCCATAAGTTAGTTCACCATCCATTTTCAATAACCTTGGTAGTGGAATTGTGTTCTTAAGAGTAGGCATATTCAGTGTAATGATAAGTTATGTATATAGTGTTTTTACACAGGAGTCTTACAGGACAGAAGGTGTCAAAAGTATTCAATTCAGACATGTTACAACCATCTCCTATAATACAATCGTCATTACAGTTATAGATGAATTTCTTTATCGCAGAAAAAAATAATTTCTATTGACATTTTTGTAGATGGTGGTGTTAATATGATCACAAATCTTTTTTCGTATATCCCTTTGTGTAATATCTGCATTGTTAAAACGTAATGAAGTTAACTGCAATTTGCACAAACCACTTTAGTTGTAGGGGAGACCAGGGCTAGTTGGTCGAGTTAGATATTTTGGCCTTGTAGAGTCAACTGGGGATGAGTTATAACAACAAAACCGGTTTTAGAACAAGAAGCAAGGTCTTAGCTACAAATGTAACCTCATAATTTTGCAAATATAATGCCAAATGGCTCACAATTTGACAAAACCACATGGTTGGCACCTATACTTTTAATAATACAGTTAGTCTTCCGTGTAAAAGCCACGAAGAGCATTTTAACAGATTTTAATTTAATTAAACTTTTTTTAGAGTCTGCTGAATTAGTAGTTCAAATGAGGCTGATTTATTGAGGTTTCTGTGCGTTACCTTCATTATTATGTGTTGAAAAAAAAAACATCACAAGAGTCCATATATTTATGAATCAATCTTGTTTTTTATTTAAAAACTAATAATGGTACAAAATAGGTTTTGGATGATTGAATATCAATTATTAACTCTTGTTTTAAAAGTAACTAAAATTTTCAACCTTAAACTGGTATTAATTTAACAAACTCTTGAGTTAGTTTTAATCTCCTGGTGTGCATTCTTCATGTGACCAATTCAAATACATCTATGCAACACAAATCAATAATGGTGTAAATTTGGTTTTTAACGAATAATTAACTCTTGTTTTAGAAGTTACTAACAATTTCAACTTTTATTCATTTCACAAATACGACTTTATTTTAACAATGAACTATAGCTCAGTGATTTTAACAAACAACGGATCCACAATTATGACGCTTTCTTGGCACTGGATACGGTCACTTTACAAGATAATGTGATCATTTTTTAACGTCGTTACTTTTTCATGAATTGACGAAGGACCATCTTACCCCGTGGTCCAACTAGCCCCGGTCTACCCTATGCTGTCTCCCGAGATTTCAAATGAATTTTTGTCTAAGAAACCTATTGATCACAGGATAAAGATGTGAGAATAATATGCTTACTGACATACTGATATTTACAGAAAAAGAGTAATTATCTAAAACATGTATATATTTTCAGTATCTGTAGTAAAAGTTGGAATGTATACAACCATCTCACGTATTGCATTTATTAAAAACTGAGAAAAGTTATGACTTCTCCGTTAACTTGCACTTAAGCTACGCCATTAAAATGCAACTTGATAGAAAAACATATATACCCCTACCTCTTGTTTGCGGCTTTTACTCCATACCCTCGAAATTTCCCAATGACGAAGTCGGACGTGGTATGCAGATGTGTTGGCAGAGTTTTCATGTGCTTCAGGACTAGAGCATAGAAATGTGTAACGAATATTCCAAAGTACAGGTAAGAAATTCTTGTAGTACTTCAAAATACAACATAAAACAGTTGCTTGTCCAACTCCCCCCCCTCCCAAAAAAATTGTTTGTTGCGTCCTAATAGTTTTACATATGTTTTTAATTGCGTTGGATAAACATAACGCTGGTTGTGTGGCACACTGCACAAGATTATTGACGTGAAATGCTCCATGAAATGATATCTGCTTTAATATCAAAATGTCGCGCCATTCACTCGTTCAAAATTACAGTTGATAACAGTTTCCAAGATAATTTGTTGATATATATATATATATATATATATATATATATATATATATATATATATATATATAATTTTAATTTTCGGTTAATCATTTACTTTTTGCCGTCCCAGGTTCGTTGTTATCTTCGCCATTATATACCTCCAAGAGCACAAACAAGTACAATGAAGATAAAATAAGTCAAACATGGCAAAATTATAAGTCATATAAAGGTAATTATCCATAAAACTTCCTTTATTTCGCCTGCGAAAAAGTGGCTTTATGCCATTCTGCTAGAAGTTTTGCTTGACAGCCATATGGTTTTTGATTGCAGTGTTTTAAGAGGTTGAAGGAAATGGGCTGCAATTTACTAAAATTAATTAGTATTTGGTAATGCTGAGCTCATTTTAAAGTATTCGAAATACATATAAAAAGTTTTAATGTATAAGTAAATCATTAACAATAAGCTAATCAATTATTTGATTATTTGAACAAAAACTACTGATTGCGAGTACCAGGTGTAAACTGGTCGCCTTCACTGTTATCAGTTGAAATTTAACTCTGTCAATCAATGATCTCTTCCTGCAATCTATAATTCAGTTTTCAAGTTTGATTTTCCTGGTTAAAAATACACACATTTTGTTCTATGTAAGTGATTCATATCAACTTTGGAGATTAATTTCAGTTTTCATATAAATGGGGTCTCATTGACATAACATGTACCTGCATCTGATGAAGCACTTTCATTGAATACGACGATGTATTCATTTGGAATAGCAGTCTTGGAATATTCATTCATGATTGGCGCTGAAAAAATAATTGGATATTAATTTATATTCAGGGGTTAGCCATTGGCAAAGATGGTTAACGAGGAGGTGCGGTGACTGTAAGATAAGAAGAAAGTGCATTAAATTTGATCTACTAGTAATTTAATTAATAGTGGCTATTTATAACAAAACTGGTTAAGAATGTGATCCTTCTGGAGAGCAATACTTCTGTTGGCTGATTACTTTTAACGGAGGCGGATACATTGTTAGAATTAGCTGACGTTATAAGTGGGAAAATGAGCAAATCCTAAGAAAACCCTTACCTCTGTAAGCCGAGGTGTAGCACAGCACAGCCAAAAGAAACAAAATCGTCTTCATTTTTAATTTTGTTGTTCGGTAGAATTTTCTAACTCCCTTCCCAAAAAAGTACAGGGCAAGACTGAATTGCAAATGAACGTCGTTTATTAAACTTTGATCAAAACGTCATCACAAGCAAACGTCCCGTGATCTTGGTACAGTAAATAACACTTATCTTGCACTCTGAAGAGTGATCCAAGCTTGTCAAGTAGATAAGACGGCATATGGAACTGATGTTTGCCCACTGACTTATCTGAAACTTAGCACAGTTTTCTTGACTCTCATGAGTTATAGGTTAATATGCAACATGGGGCCGACCACCTTTGAATCTTTTTGAAGAAAGCATTGAGAAGTAGGAGACGATATATAAACGATGGCTGTGATCCCAAGTTGCTTGGCTTATGATCTGATGTGCTCTGTCCTAATGTAGCCTGGTAGCAATTAGCAGTGCAAGGCCAGGCTAGAACGAGGCTCTTGCTGTTCACAGCGATTCCACTGAATTGTCTGGTTGTGGAATCCTGCACTAATTCCACATTGCATAACCATAGTAGCCAACATGTTAATATCTAATTTGCGTCTATTCTGCATACATAATTATTATTCGCTGTACAGGCCTATAGGTAGCATCAGTTTTACACTTTACCATTAAAAAAAATTGTTCGATTTTAATAAAGTCCAAATGTTTTAAACATGGTTTGCACGAGGGATACCATGATGAACAATCATAGCCGTTTTTATTCTTACATGCACGTCAAAACAGATTTAACAAAAATGTGACGTTGAACTTCCTTTAAACGAAGAACAGCGTCATCCCACAATTACGATGGTGGTTATTAACTAGAGTGTGCATTGTACCTTGCCAATTACTGGTATTGTGAGGCTTTGTGGCAAATTCCATAACAGAAACCTGTTTAATGAAAAAAAATGAATTTTCCTGCATAAATATTCATTTAAATATTTCCTACAGTTGCTCTTGTTATGTCAAACATGATCGCGAAGAGATAAACTCTAAGTTTTCAATTGAACACAACATTTTGCTCATTTCTGCATTATGAATTTTATTTTGTTACCTCTAAAATATTAGTGTTGGCAGATCCATTTCTATTCAACGACTACAAAATCAGACATATGTACATAAAAGTAAATGAGAATTATTACACCTTTCTTAGGGGCCATTCAGAATGAGAAGATCCGAGTGCTAACTGGTCCACAGCCTAAATATAGTGGACCTACATGAAAGGAAGACCACTTAATCCTGTAATGGTCTCTCCACCTCACCACGCCTCCTCACGCGTCTGGTCGAATGGAGCCGAGATTTAATTACTGCGCCCCTCATTCTGAATGGCCCCTTAAATTGTGAATACTGCCTTAATGACTTTGTTCATGACTGTGAAGTTGAAATCACACTCCTCTTCTAAGAGCATTCAGAGTGAGTGAGGGAAATAAATTCGATTTAAAATTTAACATTTAATTCACAACTTAAGGAAACTTAAATTGTTGTATTGTCTAACAATTGAATCCTAAAAGAAAAGTTTATAATACCATCATATTGAAATCTGTGATGAAAACTATAAATGAATTTTAATAAATCCGAATGGTTGCCGAATACCAAATTTTACTCAATGAACACTTTGTGTAAGAATATAAGGAATACATCATCAGTAGCCATACATGTAGTTTCATTATATTCCAGGAAATAAAGATCAATACATCAAGACTTTGTACATGAAGTTCAATACATTAAAAAGCTACTTGCACAATAGATAACTACTGGCTTAGATAAGATGATCTGAAGACTGATATGCATAAAGGTAAACCAGGAATGAAGCATTTACAATATGATAAAGTACTGATGCTCTTAACAAAAATATCAACAGGGTTCACAGCACTGTCTCTACTTAAACAAGACAATTACACAGAATGTATATTGTAAAATTATGCTCATGCACTACTGCTTTTCTTTCCAATAATTATCTTTAATTTGCACTTAATATTTTTTTAGTTTCGCTGAAAAACTATAAATTATGTATAATTGTTTAATATATGCATTTCAAAATGTAAAAAAAAAGCACAGTGCCAAAAATGGCATTTTATTAGAGATTGCACAATTCAATTATTGACAGTGAATCTCAGAAATTATCTAATTTTACATTGGTGCTTATCTTTTATTTCCATGTTCATCATTGGATTACAATATTTTCAACTGTTTCAATAACTCATAGAATAAGAATTTTATTTATTGCTTTTCAATACATACAAGATATGGGGATAATATATAATCTTTTACTGTACAGATTCAAAGTGAGATGCCAATGTGTTAATAGCATCCTACAAGTAGCCATCACTATTTTTAAAGCATTTGTTACTTAATATATAAATTAAAGTTTTATATCGGCATTTTCTTCCACACACTGACAATAGTTTCTGACAATTGCCACCTCTCATTTTCTTGCCACAAAATTTTATCTCCACAAGAAACCTGTTTAGGCTTTGCTAAGTCCATCATGCTGTGTAGAGGGAAGCAAAAGCATTATATCCCACTGCACTGAACAGAGTCAATTCCAGCTTAATTACGTGAGAAGCATGTACAGACGAGATTTTAATTGATAATTATTAACTGCTGCATTAACAAAGACTTATGCACAATATTACACATATCATGAGTGCTGCTTGGGTAAATAAACTCTAAACACTGCATTATAAATCCTATTTTGAAAAACGTATTTCTATTTGTTTCTTTGTTTGTCTGCCTTTTCCATCCAGCCATTTTCTGGAATAATAAACAAACGATCCTCCCTTTGAGTGTTGAACCACGTACAAGTGAAGCATACAGTAATCACAACTCAAGTTTGACTGCTCTTCTTCATAAAAATGGAGAAGTGTACATTACTCAGAAGCTGCATCCTCTGCAGTTTTTACCCCTCATTGGTAGAATGACGGCTGGAATGTAAGACAGGAAGCATGTACTAGCTAGTGTGTTTTTGGAAAATGTAACTTGAATTTGAAGTTTTTTTTTATTAAAACAGTTGTTATCAATATCTTTACAAGAAATACAACATATCTGATCAAAACAACCTAGTTTCAGGATACTCTCTGCCAGAGCCCCAGAATGGTTAGCACTAACACATACCACTTTTTTTAGGTACGGGCAGTTCGTTTGATGATCTGATGGCTTTTCTATTTTATTTGGATTTTTATCTGTGTGGGCCCATCTTTGTTTAAAAAACATCTAACTATATATGTAGCAACTTTATAAATGCTTATAGTGCTTATCTAACATTGATAGTTTTTCTTCCTTTTTGTATTATGGTAAACTAGTAAGGAATTTTAAAGTAGTTTTTTGTGGTTTTTAGTTTCATTGGCCAATCAAGGTGACAGCCGAGATCGAGTACAGCAAATCAGGCCAATAAGGACAGACCAATTAACTGCCTTGATTGCAGTCAGATTTGGCAAGGACTTGTTAATTGGCTGTGTCTAGAAGTTATGCAAACGGTTACCCACCCTGTAATTATCCTTGAAATTTCAGAACAGGGTTGAAATTTCAGAACAGGGTCACAGCAGAGAATCATGTCATGAATACGCCAGAGACATATTTGTGATAATTCAGTGAAAAATCAATTTGTGACCATGGTTGAGGGTAGCTTCAGGACAATATTCTCACCTCATTATCCCTGACAGTGGGTGTATCTTCTTCATCATCATCATCATCTGAGGAATCTTCCCCTGACGACTCCTGACTGCCAGCATTGGTAACTAGTCTGTCATCTACAGGATAATTATGATAAATTTACTAAGTACCATTGTATAAGAACATTATTCTGAAAACTGATCTCAACACACATTGAAATTGTATTAACAACCTTATACAACAAAAAGTAGGGTGACTTGTGATGTGAGCAAAAATGTTCATTAGCCAGGTAGTTGGATTATGAGGTATGAAAATATTTCCGCTTGCGTTTGATAATTTTCATTTATGATACAACAAAGTGATTTCACATCGTAACTTCAACATTTTCATAAACAAGGTCTCTTCCAAAATACAGACAAGTGAATACATGCTTTGAACAGCCAGCAACCTTCTATTTTCCAATCTGCTTATATCTCACTTACCGGGTCTTGATCCACTGGCAGCTAACTGATCATAACAGTTCAAGCATACTCTCAAAGGTTTGGAAGACTGCTGCGGAAGCAGCCATTTCTTGCTGGAGCAGGGGTTACACACCACACGGCCACACTTTCTGCAGTGGTGCTGAAATAAATGTAACTTTTTGCAAAGATAAATGTGTGCATGTATGCATGGTTGCATAGTTAAGAGTTGGAGAATTAATAATTCAAATTTATCAAGTTGTGGGCAGGGATTATAAATCTGCATTTCACTGGCTTACACTCACCCTTCGAGAAACTGGCATTGTCGAAAAAACTTGGATAACTCAAGCTCTCAAATTTTGTGCACAGGTGCAATGAGTTATGACATATAAATAATTTATGTACCAAACTTTAATTCAAACTGTTACATAAGTTTTTGAGTAGAACGCTTAAAATTTGGAGCAAACCATGATGCTTATGCATTCATAATCTCGTCAAAAATGGAAATGCACTGTGACATCAGTCAGTTGTATTTGGGAAGCTCCTGAATGATTTTTTGATGAGCAACACTGCACATTTTGAGAAAATATCCATGCAGAATAAAGAAGATTCAAAAAACAAAATTTAAACTAATTAGACAACTAAAATCTTGTTTCTTGAATTCTGAGTGTGTACACATCAAAGACATCGTGAACAAGTGTGTATAAATGCTGCCTTTCATATTTTGTATCAAAATCTTCCTTTTACTTCATGACACAGTGTTTGCATTAGGTACACCGGGAAACAGTGAAAAAACATGTACTCATGTACTTCCACTTTTTGTCAGTTTGTTGAAAATATCTTTTCTTGAAGGGTGAGTCTATATAAAAATGTGGTACATTTTAAATTTACTATAAAATCCAATGAATAAACCAGATTACATACAATGATATAATTATACAATATATATATATATATATTAATATATATATATATATATATATTAAATACCAAGTGACAGAGATTTTTTTCTACTGAAAAAGCTAAGTCTTGAGTTAAGTAAGTCTTTATACATACAACACTATGCCTACCCTTCGATTTAGAATAGAGAACTCCACTCTGTTGCACTGCATGCACTTACTGGCCTCGGAATCTGGTATCCAAACTGGACTGTCATCCACTGCCTGGTGCTTCTTTCCTCCTGGATAAATAAATAGCAAGCTATTTCTATGAATTTTTAAAGCAAACAATACAAAAATTCAAAACAGTCTGACTCTTTTCATCTACCCTCTTAAAATAAAACCTAAGCTTTATAGTTTCAAAGAAAGGTATTATTTTTGAATAAATTTCTAAGAAGCTACCAAATATCACAAAAAAATGCCACTAACAGAAAACACACAGAGAGCATCACATGAGTATGTATCATATGAACATTTAATGGTCATTATATATCTATACAAGTGACAACAAATGTCATATTCCCAAAAACACTTTTATAACAATATGTTTCCCTAAATTACATTGATACACAAGTTAAAAAAAGAAGCAATTTGAGACTGCTGCCCGCTGCAAAACAAATCTTCAAGCATTAAATCACTCTCTATGAAGTGCAGTTATGATAAAGGCTCTGCTGCCCCAGTGCCTGACTATTTACAGAAGATTTATCTCTAAATATTGCATCATTCAGAATCACTGGAAAATGAATCCCATTTTATAGAATGTTCTCAAACCCCATGAATAGAAAATAAGTCTGTTTTAACAGTAGATTGATTTCATATTATTATAAAAAATTCCCTCCATCAATAGAAAAATCTAATAAGACAAACTGGTATGTGATACAAGTCCCTGGTCACAGTGCAGCTGCCATTTTCCACCTCCCATTACCAGAACTCCACTCCAAAATGAGTTATGGTCTTCATAATAACAATACATTTCATAAACATAGGAAAAACCTGACAGCATATAAAGCCAGACAGATAATATTGGGCAATAAATCATCACTTTCATCTTGGCAAACATAATCATGAACAAAACTGATTGTATGTACTGCTCTCTGATAATAATAATCTCCAGTATTAGGGTTATCCTAAACAAGAGTCAACAACTTACTCTTGGCTAGGAGGTCTTGTACACATTTGTTTATATGTGCCATCCACTCAGCTTTCTCTGTAGCAGTGGCTGCATAGACAGTAAAAGGACTTGCTAGGGCTAATAATCTGCCATCCATTTCGTAAACCTAAAACACAAGCACCATAACTAAATATGTTTCAACTGATATTTTGACAGCATTTTTTAAGTTTATTTCACCTTATATATAACATGTTCAAAACTATATGTATCAATGGATTTAACACACACACACACACACACCCTTACATATATTTAATGAAAAGTTATTTACATAATATATCATGAAAACAACATTTCATGATATATTATTAATCATGAAATGATGTTTTCATGATAAATATTATGTTTCATAGACATGTTTGGTAAAACCTTAAAATACTGACTGTTTACAAAAACCACTGTTAAGTGTTTTCCAAAAGATTTTTCCAGCATGCCCATTTTTTTTTTTTTACAAAACTTTGTCAGTCCATATTTTTCCCAGAAATATTTTTTTCTGCCAGAAACTTATCTTTCAAGAACAAATACGTGTATAATGAGATTATATTTGTTTCTTGGGTTCTTTTGGATTTACAGTATAGGTGGAATTTAGTTTTATATATATATATATATATATATATATATATATATATATATATATATATATATATATATATCTGCACCTCCACAATACTGGCCATGGGTAACAACAGTGGGTTGTCATCTTTGAAAGTCTGTCAAAATGTTCCCATGCGTTTGATTACAAATGGGGGTGCTTTCGTGTGAAAGGGGATGGATTTGTCTTATTATAACAAAAAATTTTGTGTTTCCAAACATTGCTGTGTATTTTAAACTTTTTAATTCTTAGCCGAAAATGACAATCAAACAGCACTTAAATCTGAGACAAGACATACCGGTCTGTTTTGCAGCTGTCCATTCTAATAAAGAAAGCTCTAAGAATAGTATTGTCATGTTTTTATGGCACACACAGTAAGAAAATATAAAAATTGCTCTTTGTCGCAAATTCTGATGGGTGAAGAAAACGGGTTAATGTGCCAATCATTTGCATTTTCAACTTCAGTACAAAATAATGATCTCCCATACACGTGAACTATACAAATCATTCAATTTCAGGATTTAAATATCTGTAATACACTCTGCTTTGCATAAAACAATAAGGTGTAAGGAAATCCTGTCGTCTCAGCCTATAATCACAGATGTTGTGACCCAATCCTGTTTCGATCCCTTCAGAGATGCATGACAGCGAAACCACAGCTAGCGTGTAGTTTTGTTTCCCTATTCAGGGACTTAACATACAGTGGAGGTTTCCATTGAGGACATAACATCCCGGTCACATCAATATTGAATGAGAATAATTGAATAAGTTATATCCTCTTCCTGCTTTTTGCACGCATGGTGATTTCATATCATTGCTGTTTAACCACTGATTCCAGATCAGTGTGCTTTGCCAATTCTGTGAAGTTTAGTGTACTCTTTCCTGATAATTTTTGAATATGTTTAATGTTACATTTTCCAAAAAAATTTAATATAAAGCAAAACACAATGTGGTAAGCCTGCTCACAAGTTTGGCACTATGTTGAAATTTTGCTGCCCATGTCCCACTGTTGTTACCCAGTGTCATGGATGTGCACATATAATGTTATTAATTGGATTGAAGGTGCTAGAAGTATAACCAAAGTTAACTTTCTGCAAGTTAAATGAAACCTTGTTACTGGTCTTTTCAAAAATTCATCTGCCTGTGATCAAAGCATTAATAACTGTTATTAGTTATAGAGGATATACAAGATGTCACTGCTAATAAGTACAGGTATTTTCACGGCAATACAAACAAACTTTTTATGAGACACATTTAATAAAATTTTGCCATATAGATCAAGCCATAGAGGCAATATTAAAGAACACAAAATTATTTGACTTCCCAACTGTAAAAAATATTGAATTTTTGGATATAAAAATCAATATGCTAGTACTGTACTGCACTCTGATTGCATATCACTACATGTTAAAAGGTCAATTACAAATATCCATTTTAAGTATCACAAACAGTGACAATGGGCACGTAGCTCATATATCATAAATATGCATTTTGTTGTTGTATTTTACCTGGCCATATGAATTTTATAGTAATTCAATATCAAGCACATAAAATGCTCTAGGCCCAAAGCATTAAATTAGCTTTAGAAACTATATTACAGCTCTAAATCACAATAAAATGCCACATGAATACCAAAATCTAGAATTCAATTCTAAGATAAGATAAACCACTATGACATACACCTTTATGTGTAGATAACACAAGTACCAGTTGAAGATACTTAGCAATGTAGTATTCACTCAACTTTGTGGAGGAAAGTTATGGTAAATAAATAGTCACTTATGGAACAACATAAGATCATGAACTAATAGTATATCCATTTTTAGTATCCTACATTTTCAAAGCAGTGACTTAAAATACATGTGCTTCATATAAAGAACAAACTGAGAGGGTAAATAATAGCTGGTCAGATTTCTATATTCTCCAGAATTCAGTTATTAATGACTTTATGGCACCACGATAATGTATGCAGTGGTGGTTTATCCCACATGGACAAGGTGCCACATAAGAGGAATTTAACTCTGTATGTGTTTGTGTGTGTGTGTGTGTGTGTGTGTGTGTGTGTGTGTGTAAAAGAGAGAGAGAGAGGTGAGCATAAACTTTTAAAGAATTTATCCATACATTTTAAACAAGTCACTCATTCCAAAATTATTCCATATAGTATAAAATTGTATTATTTTGTTTTTGTTCCTTACAAAACCATGCTTTCTGATACAAATCAAACAAACATTTCAGAATGCATTTTCAGGTATTAGTAACAGGACATAGTTCTGGGAATTATAAAATACTGTTTTATTCAAATCTGATGAATAATTACTACAAACAACATGTACGTCAGCAGCTGATATGAACTTGACCCAATTAGAAACATCCACCCTATATTAACTATGATACTGAAGTGACTACACATCTAAATCAAGTGTTTAAATGTATATTTGAAGACATTAGAGGCCTGCAATAGAACAAACCAAAGATCAAATTCATGGAAGTTGGGTATCAACATCATAGAGATCTTTTATGATCTTTGTGTAATCCAATTTTAGTTCATATCTTGCTTAAAACCAATCTGTAAAAGCTTACTCACTTCCCTCATCTTCAACTGACTGCAATTTGACATCTTCTAGTGGTAGAATATGTTGTTTATTGTACTGAAAATACAAGTTTTAATAAATACGTAAATAAATAATGAGTAATTTGCAAACTAAATCTTAAGTGTTCCAGTCCAAAACATTATATTTCACTTTGCCTGGTTATGATATTTTGGTCATTACCAGGTAAAGTCTTCATTATAAAAAATATAAAAAAAAAAGTCTTCATTATAAAAATATAAAAAAAAAAAAGCCAGAGAAAACAGTGTAAGTAACTAAATCGATTATCTTCTCAGACATGGAAAATTTCTGAGCAAATTCAATATACTTTAAGACTTTGTCTAAAACTGCAGTTGTGTGCCCACCTTTTTCTTATTTATAACAATATTTCCATACACCAATATATCATTAAAGAGAAAGAACTGCCTCGGCTTTGGCCTCTTCCTGCACATCTTAGTCAACACCCCTTCTCCTACCAGAACCCGTCCTGGGACAGTCAAAGGCTATAAAATAAGGAAACCATTATATTATCAATAAGGCAATAATATTACAAGCATAATGGATTAAGCCAACATAGCTGAAGACAAAAGCGGTAGTGTTTAAGCACTGAAAAATGGTGTGACAGAGGGGTTTTTTTTTCAAAAAGAAAATTATTGATACTGGTGTATTGTGGCGTTAAGAGATTTTGAGAAAATATATCAAAGATAAGCACGGTGAAGGCTTTACGCAAAATCTGCTGATTCCATAAAAATATAAAAACTGACCACATACTCTAGTTTTTAATGGTTACACAGTTAATAAATTTAGTAATTCTGTTAACTGTTGATTTTATGAGAGGTAGTTTTCATTCAATCATCATGAAAAATACTTCCCACCTGTCCTGAAGACCCAAAGCATTGTTCCACAAATGCAATACGCTTGTTATTTGCATCGCTGTTCACTGAAAAAATATAATAAAAAATAAACTAAAAAAAATATTATAATTATAGTTTTCATTGAATATATCTGTGCATGGAATACATTGGCAATTGACTACATGTGGTATAGGATGACAATTTTTTCCTGTGATACTGCTAAAGTTAAATAGTACAATATGATAATTATTGCAGAACCCTATCCACTGAACAGCTTGAACCTTACAGTATGAGATTACTGTGTCTCTTCTTATGTCTATTCTACATGTACTGGTCAACTTTTAAAGTACAGAGAAAACACTTCTGAACCCTCCCTGCCCCTCTCTTTCCAGGACAGCCCAAGTGATAAGTTTCACAGTAGAACAAGTATAGCTGCACTTTAATTCTCATAATCTACAAACCTAGCATACTAGTATATAAAATGGTTCTCAATAGTGTATCATCTGATTGCTTTTTTTTACAGAAATTCTGTTACTAATTATCTTCATCATCATCATCATTTAAATGTGCAGCAAACCGTAACCCCTTCAAGATCTCGACGAAAACAGGAAGTGCGTCATGACGTCACTCGCTTGTACTTGGAGAGCTGCTGGGTGATTTTCCGATGAGAAATATTTCGTCGCTTATACAAATGTTCGGAAAATGACCATGCAGATAAAAGAATATTCACTAATCAAAATTGAAACTGCGTATTTACATAGAAAAACATTGTGCATTTCTGAACTAGACTTGTCAGTGTAAACAAAGTGTACTGAACGCATCGCAAGCAAGCACGTGAATGCCGCGTTTGATTTTTGTATCAGACGCTTCGTTTTACTTGACAACACAGTGTTTACGATGGGCATAACAGGAAAAACAGTGCAAAAAAACACGCACTTCCGGTTTTCGTCGATTTCTTGAAGGCGTCGATTTCTTGAAGGGCGAGTCTATGATCTTAGCACCTCGCAAAAAAAAAAAAAAAAAAAAAAAAAAAAATTCTGGTCAAAATGATTCTTTCATCTTTCTTGTACAAACGGCATTCCATACAACCCAGTCTCATTACTGGTACATGTTGACCATAAAGCATTTTTCATTACCTCTTATTTTTCCAACATAAAATTGTAGCAAAGTGTGCATGTGTAAAAATGGTGTCTCCACTAGTTTCTTATACTGGTAGATCTAACATGTGACAAAAGTTGACAGATATATCACGTAACATTTGGGATTCCATAAAACAACAAATCTCGCTGTCTACTACTGATTCTTTAATACTAATACCATTAACTGTAATACCATAACGTTAATCTACACATTCAATATTTACCATAATTTAGTGAAACGGGCAAAACTGTCAGAAATGTGACACCAGAAACGATATTTTGGTGAGAATAAATACATTTTATGACCCTCATTTAACATGAACACCAGTGCAAAGAGCAAACTGTATACTTAAAATATATGGTAAAATACTATAATGAAAACTGAAAAAGTGATATGACTAATTTTTATACAGTAACACCTACCTAGTCGGTCCACCATCTTGGCCTGTCTGAGTGATCACGTGACAAAATCACTCCTACAAAACATTGACACTCGCTTCAAATCCTTCAACGTTTATCATCAAAATTGTGGGTAAAAGCAGACAGAATAGATGCTTTTTTGGCTAAAAACAGCTATTCACCAGTACCAAATATAAAACGGCCCAATCCTAATATCTTTTAGTGCTGGATAAGTGAAATCAACTTCCTCTGCGTCACTTCCTAGTCAAGTGACTATCGACTCGGTCGGCAAAAGTACACATTCGGTGAAGAAAATATTATCAAAATGGGCTGTCCGGTTTGTGGACCGAAGTTATCATTATGTGGAATAATTACTAGTGCGTGGGGAATTGTTATGCTGGTAAGTTAATTTTGATGAAAGGTCACTGGGTGTTGAACCACACTGTTTGCAACGAGTGGTAGGAGTCGCGGGAATACTACTACATGCACTGATTGATTCGTTATGGTACTGTATTTTCTAGGGTCAGGAAATGAAATAAAAATTCTTCACAGTAACCCATTTTTGCATTTGAATTCAGGAAACTGGAAATGGTTATGCAGAGAGTATCTCCTGTTTTCATTTGCAAAATACCTGATAATCATTCGTGGTATGAGAAAAATTGCAGAATTATTCAATACATTGGGAGTCATGTGACATTGAGCCATCAACAGAAATACACAACTACCAAGGGCCTGTATCACAAAATAACAGAGTTTCATAAAATCTGATGCTTTCAATGTAGTGGCAATAGCTAATTTAGGTAAAAAAAAGCAAATTCTGAAAAAGAAAACTAAGTTCATATTACTTATCCACATGTAGGAAATATTAAGTCAGCAAAGAGCTTAATTTGATATATATATATACATATATATTCCCTTTTTCAGATTCTGATGGGAGTGTTTTTCATAATCAAAAGCCCTGCCTTTATTGAGGATGTAAACTTTGACCATGATAAAGTCCATAAAGCAGGTACAGTTGAGGCAGCAAACAACCTGATTGAAGAAGCCTACCAAACTAGTGCTTACAACTGTTTCATTGCTGGTGGTATATATGTTGTCATTTTGATCTTCTCTGTTGTTCAATTCAAGTGGAACATGAGGGCCAGCTATGTGATGTCATAGAACTTTGTAACAGACTCAAAATTGGATTGCTGAAAGACGCTTTAAATCAAATTTGGTGAAACTGGACACATTTGGCCTGTGTGTGACCATAGGTCATTATCAATAACTTTGTACAGTTAACTCCCAGGAATGTGATATGGCAGTGTCAAGTAGATGCAAGACTGTTTTAAATGGGAATTGTAACTTGCACACACACTCATTATGGTCAGGAATTATCAAGAACAATGTCTGTAGCAAACCTTCCTACATCCTGGGAATTGTGCAGACCTACATTTCTATTTGCAATGTAGTATATTTGTCTACTGTAAATACATGGTGTAAATTATTGTTGTAAGAATTGTACACAGTAAGTAGAATGTTCTTTGATGTCTAGTTAACATATGTAAAGTTCTTACTGAATTTGACTTTAATGATAAACAAGTACAGTAAGATCACTAAGCACACTAACTTAAAAATGGAAGAGACAGAAAAATGCACCTTGAATAAAAATTATGGCAAACAAATAGTTAACTGATGAAGTGGGTTTTGTTGTATGGAATTTTTTTTTTTTTTTTTTGATGTGATATTGCACTGTTAGCATAGTCATTGTTGAATATTTTACCATTTAATGGAACATTTTCTCTGTATCAGTGGAGGAAACCAAAATGAAATGGATAGTTATTATAAATACATTTTTGGAAAATTGTGAGGAAGAAGTGTTAAATTACCTGTGCTGCATGACGTTTACAAAAATAAAAAATAAAGTCTTTAGTGCCAGGCACTTTTCATGATATCATTTCTGTTTAAAGCTCTGAACCAAACATTTGTTATCACAGGATCAAAAGTCACAAAGGATTTTCACAAACAGTATTCATTTTGTAAAGTTTCAACATTTCCTACTCCAGTGGATATTTTAATATTAAAATTTGACTTATATTAGATAAACTTGTGTAATTAAAGTATAACCAAGAATATTTCATGCTTTTGTTGTAAACTTTTAAGAATTCAAAATTTGTTCAGCATAATGAGCCTTGCATGAATTATCACAGGAAGACCACAGCAGACATTACTTGTACATAAACTGTAAAAATGCAAAGTATTCTTAAATTCAGTATTTTTATTTTGTTCTATTCAACAAGGAAATTGTAACATACACCAATTTCCACACACTCTCTGGTTAAACATAGAAAGATCAATTTTGCTTTCTTAATTAAGAAAAAAAAACAATTTTAAATATCTAAACAATCACAACCTTTTTAATTTTTAAAATAATTTATAAGGAAAGCTCCAGAATGTACCTCAATATTGATATCACCCCATTTCCCCGCTTACACTGGATCACAACCTTTTTGAGTGACACTTTTTTTTGGGAGGGTGGGGGTGAACATTTACACAATTCTCAATCACCTTGTCTACTTTCACTGTGAAATGACTTGTGTTAATTTAAGATATTGAGCACTTCACACTAATATTATGTGTTTTATATGGTATCACAGCAAACTGTGCCAATTGCAGACTTGTAACCAGACCCTGCCTTGTCTAACAAGGGGGAGTAGGTGCATATTGTGCTGGGCACAAAATTCATTAGTAACTAACTTTTATAAGAAGACAATGGCACTATCGGTCTATAATCTTAAAATAAATCTGAATGAGCTTGTAGAAATGAATACAACAGACATATTGCCTGAATGATTTCAATGAGGATCTAATGAAAGGTTTAGTTCAGAAGGAACCTTGCTGCATTGTATTTAATTATAAAAAGCAAAACTGAGCAAGAAAATATATTACTTTTTTATATTTAGATGTTTGTATCACACACAAACACACACTTAAATATATATATATATATGTATATTAATACTGTTCTTTAAAAAATTAAATATACATATTCTTTCAACAAAGTTCGGACGGATCATCTATGGCAGGAGCTCTGATGTAATTTTTTTCAAAAGTTCTGCAACAGATATATTGACAGACGTTATCAACATAGTAGAAGATTTTTAAAACAAATATGAACAAACTAATAAATAAATTCATAAATGCAATAATGGATGGTGACATTGGTCCCATGCTTACTTGCAATCTTGGTTATGACTTGACAAGTTATGACTAGTTAATTAACTTTGATTTTTTTCAGAGAGGCAGTTAAATTTCAATCAGAACTGTACAAACATCACCAAAACATTTTAAATACATGTAATTCTGACTAAATAAGTTCAAAAGCTAGTTTGTGTGACAGGGTTCTATCAAAAACAATTATTGGTGCAGAAGTATTTTGAATTGCCAAATTGTCATTCAATCTGCATGATGGAGATCATTGTAATACCCCAACATTTTCATGCAGATTTAAGAAGAAAAAAATTGTAAAAGAATTTATCATAATGGTTCTAACATATTTGGACTCTTTTTCTTCTTTTTCTTTGCTGATGGCTGTCGCAATGCCTCAAGTCGAATAGGACGAGCAGCCATACTGGTGTCTGGTCCCAGCTGTCGATGAACTTGAGCAGCACGGAAATCATTTTCAGAACCAGATTCTTGGCTATCTGGACCCCGCTGTTCTGTGATCCATGGAGCCCCACCATTCATCATGCGTGGAGAGTTGTTTCCTAAGAGTTTGAAAAAAAATTATATTGAATTAACAATGCTCTTCAAAATATATTCATAATTTCCTTCTTAAAATCTCATTTAAACTGGATGCACAACATTTGGATTCAAAAGGAAGTGCAACATCAATGTAGTCTGTTGCCAGTTTTTCTATACTCACTGAGGGATTTTGTCTCTTGAGTCTGTGTAAGAAGCTGTGAGGCTCTTTTAGGAGCAAAATAATTGCTGGCATATTCTTCATTGCTGTGATTGTTTAATTTCTGAGGAAAAAAATGATCAATAAATAAGAATTTTTTTAATGTTTACTATAATATACTAAAATCCAATATGCTTATTGTTTAACCTTATATCAATAATATCATAAAACAAGAAAATAAAAAATATAAATTCTTTAGAGACCCTGGGGTATTTTTTATGAAATTAGTGTTTTTTGCTTTTTTTATTAATAACAATCATATGCCCCAGGTATGTTGTTCTTAACTGTAGAAACTTTTAAGTTGTAAAGAGAAAAAAATCTGATTGTGATTACAAATACTGAGGTTATGGCAAAAGATGGATATGGATCAGATTTGGGACAATCTAAATGAAAAGAGAAAGTGTTTGAACCAAGTGCTGACAGAATTTGCTCTTTTCAAATGAAACACTTTTTAAAATATAATCATTAATTGCATGCATTTGACTAATACAATATGAACAGGTACCTGATAAAATCTGTCATCAGAAGGAGGACCACTATTTCCATTCATTCTCTGAAATCTTCTATCTGGGGCTCTTCCCCCTGGCATCATTCCTGAAAAAGGAAATGAAAGGTAAAACATGCATTTGCAAATGATAAAAAAAAAAAAAATTTACGGAAAGTTTATCCTCAGCATGCAAGAGCTGTCAAATATCACCAGGTATGTACCATTCCACTATTTTTCTAGGCATTAATCAGCAATGGTAATTTCATGTACAAACAGAACAGCAAGGCACCATTTCTACACTGTCACCCTGTATATAATATGTGATGAATTCTTAAAATCCTATTTACATACCACTGCTTGGCAGCCCGGACCTTTCCATAGAAACTGAAGGAGTAATCCATCTTTGATTATCAGCATCCCATCGACATTCAGCTCTTACTTTGTCCAGATTGAAATAGTTACAATCCCTCTTAATAAGGGGCTGCATCCTGTCTAGCATTGCTTGCAGCAGTTTCATTTCTCTTTCCTGAGACCTGATGGTGTCCAAATAGTCTATGCGGTCAAATTCAAATTCTGATTGCAAATCCGAGATTTCTGTCTTTAGTTCCTCATTCTGAAAATTAATAGATTAATTAATTAATTAATTAACTAGAGAAACTTACTATATAAAAAAAGGAAAAGAAATTAATTAAGAAACTAATCACATGGAAATATTTCCTGTAAATGTTGGAAATGCTATTTTTTAATCAACTCAAACATTTTCATTTTAAAACTTCCAGCTAAATGTAAGTACGAATATCACAACGCCCTACTTTCTTTTTTTAATATCAATGGCAGATAATCTTTCCATCAAATACCTTACCTTAACTTTTTCTTTCTCTAAAAGTTTCTTGGTTGCTTTAAGTTCATCCTGTATTGAATCGAATATGTTGAGCATGATACCATCATCCTCTAGGTTTTTATTTGCCTCTAGAATTCAAATAGAAATAAATGAACAATAATCTCCATATAAAATCGATGTTACCCAATTATATTTTTCGCCATGCTTTCTATAAACACTTTTTATCTCTGAATTATGGACATTTATGCAAAAATAAAAACAATTTCTAGGTATATTCCCCCTGTGAATGCTTTAATAAATCAATAATATTTCATATAATTCACAGAATAAATAATAACTATTACGAAGTCACATACCTGCCAATCTTTTCTTCTTTTCTTCTGCATATCTCTTTCTCTTCTTCCTTCTCTCTCTAATTTCTGAGTTGTCTGCATTTTCACCACCAACCATCTGTTTTTGCAACTCTTCAAGCCTAAAAAGATCAATAAGTGAAACATTTTTCTTAGTCCCTAAATTGTGCAGGTATTACAACTTAAACCCTGTACATTCATTAAACATTGTTCATTTGTTATACAATCTGATTTGCCGTATTTTCAGGTAAAACTTAAAGGCTGCATTTTGTATCAATTATCTTATTAAATTAATGACTATAAAAGTCAAATCAATTGAACAAAATATCATTACACACATTATGGTCACTTCATGCGTAATAAAATACATAACTCACACCAGCCAAATCCATTTTTTTCTTAGAATTCATAAGCAAAACCGTAGTTCAATGGAATAAATCAATAGAAAATGTACACAACATCTATGTAGAATTAGAAAAGGCGATGGAGATGACAGTATGACAGTTAATATTTGATTGGATTTGGTATGATAAATGACACAAGAGCTCTATGGGAAAAGTGCATACAAAATAAACATGGTGTGTTAAAGTATATTAAAGAGCTACAAACTCATTCCATAACCTGCAAGTGCCTTATACACAGCAAACACCCACACACCCTAAAATCAGAAGATGTCAATGATGTGCTAAATGAAAAACACCCATCCACCAAATGTTTGCCAACTTACGAGTGAATCTGATCATACAATACCTTTTTAATGCTCCAAATTGTGTCTCCATATCACTTTTTGTGAGATTAAAATTAATATTTATACTGGATTCTATTAATTTGTTAAATATGTAGCAATAAAACAATATAAATGTAATTGCAAAAGCATTAGCTGGTGATCTTGGCAAAATGGTAAAAAACAAAAGCAATGAGGTGCAATCAGTACATCAAATAAATTCAACAGCACTGTATAAAAACCATTTCAGTCTACTATGGCTATGGATATCATTAATCAATGGATGATATCCAATTCTACAAACACACAGGGAATTAATGAAATAGTTAGTTGTACGTAGAAATAATGCTAAGACTAGCAAAACTCCAAATCCCCTAATACTGCTATTTGCCATTTGTTTATAAAGATGCAAGAGAAGGCCAGTTTCCATTTTTATAATGCAATTGAACCAATAATGCAAAATGAAAATTCCACACGAGCAATATCTGTTGAATGTTATAACCCCTGTACAGACTCTTCTGAATAAAAAACAACTTCAATTGTGTTTTTTTTTCCTCAAATATAAATTGAAGCCCCAGTCTAATATGAATATAAAATAGAATTCATGCCTACCCCCCTTCCTCAAGTTCAGACATAATGTTTTTCAAGCACCAAACGTAATGGTCACATATAATTTGCCAAAATTAAATAAATCCTTAGCCTTTTTCATACATCTATTAAGCTATTTTTTCCATCTTTGTTGCAGCAATTCAACAAACTAGTACGTTAAACTTCCTGTGTTTAAAATCCAATCCCTTACCTGCGTAGTGCCTCAGTCTGTGAGAGGATCACAGGGTGTTCTATGCCCAGGTGTTCCCCAGTGGGTGAAGACCGGGGGGCAGGGGTACCCTCTTGCTGCTCTCTTTCCTCAAAATGAGATGACCCCAAGTGGATGGCAGTCTGAGATGTATCTCTATCTTCACGGCTCTACAGTATAACAAAACATACTTGAGGATATCATCCTAATTTGCAGGTTTTTTTTTTAAATATAAAATTACTGTCAGTTGAATTAAATGTGACTATCGGTATACTTTGCATTGTTATTGAAATACATAATTACTAAAGTAGACTTTCAATATTTTAGTTATATCAGGCTGTGCCCACATGCGGCTTGTGCAAATTTTTACCTCTGCTCTATCCACACTTGTGATGCTCATCAGCTGAGGTCGGGACTTCCCTTCATCTGCAATAAAAGAACACACTAAACTTCTCTTCATGTTTTGTATATATTTGTGTATTGTTTTTTATGACATAGATTGGCAAATAAACTAAATTTCATCTCAGATGATCAAAGCAAAGCATAGAAATAATTTGTATGCAATGCAGTTAATTGTCAAATCTATTTATTTTACCTTTTCTACTTAACTATGTGCAAGTGTCTTTTGTGTAGGTTTTTTTTATTCATTTATGATGAAATAAAACTGTTTAAAAAAGGCATAAAATTAATGTTCAACATCAAACAATTTGGTAATTACCTTGCTCATCTATTTCATCATATTTTGCTTTCATTGCTTCCATTTGTTTTTCATATTCCTGAAAATGGTGAATATATTTACATCAGATTAATCATATTCCTACTTCACTTTGACTTATTCTGTAATTCAGATGATATCACATGAGCCCAGGCAGTTAAATCAGCATTTTAATGGTTCAAAAGGCTTAAATGTCATATTTTTTAAACTGTAACATATCCTTAACATGCCAGCAAAAATGGCATCAGGATTTGAGTAGAAGAGGGTGTAAAGATTTTAACAATTATTTTTCAATCATATTCATTACTGTAAGTACATAATAGGTATACATCAAAGATTTACCAATCCTTAAATCTTAATACATTCAGGCGAGTGGCTTGTGAAGTAAAAGTATCTCAGACACTGCTTATATGAAAGCATTACATTAATATTTATAATCTAGTCTAACAGCCTCTCCCGTATTCAATACCTCAAGATCTCTTACCTCTTTAAGTTTACTTTTCTCTTTCTCCAAATTCTCCTCTCCATTGACATAAACAACTTTCTCTATTACTTGAGTTTCTGGGGCAGCTGCACCAGCTTCATATTTGGCTTTGATTGCAAGAAGTTTTTGGTCAAATTCCTGAAAGGAAAAATTCAAATAAAAGAAAATGTAATCACTAGTTTGTACTGGTATGTCATAGTCTGACCATTAGGATGTAAAGGGTATTCAAATTGACAAAAATAAAACTGAAAGGGGAGCTATGCCAGGGATGTATGCCAAATATGTTTGGAAAGATAATCTCAGGCTGCATTCCCACAGATTTAGATCAATCCATCTGGATAGACCTAACTCCCTGCGGGTTCATGCTAAATTGCTGTCAGCTCAAGAGGCTTAAATGTCTGTCACGCCTACCAAATCAGCTAGGGTAAATATATTTACCCCCTAACAGCTTTACTAGGTGTCAGATAAGCCGGACAAGTTGACAGCAATTTAGTGAGACTCCCCAGGGGGATAGATTGATCTAAATATCTGTGGGAATGGTCTCTTATACTTATATTTTACTTTGAATTTACTTGTATTTCTAGCAAACAAAACCTCCATGTAAATTCAAAGTAAAATCTGGCAGTTGTTGGAACAAATAAATGCAAATCAATGTTAATTGCTTCAAAAAAGAAAACAGATAAATAGTATATAAATAAATTTTCTGATGATCAAACTAGATCTGCAATTTTACCAATTATGTGCGACAGTATTATTGACTGCATTGGTCCTAAAAAGCAATAATATTTACCTCTTGTAACCTGCGTTTTTCTACTTCAATTTCCTTGCTGTGGTCCACGTGCACTACTTTCTCTATCACTTGAGGCTGAGCTGGCGCAGCTAAAATTATGTTAGAACATTCAGTGATCAAATTCAGTGCATTTTTTACCCAACTGTAAAAGAATGACAAATGAAGAGGGTGGCAAGTCTATTTTCTTTAGATATATTCATAAAAGATAACACTTAATAGTATAAATGGTAAAATTATACTGCAAACAGACAAATTTAAATCAAATAATCGAATACTGTTACCTTGAAAGCCTCCATCAGGAATTGGCATCTGGCCAGCCAACATAGCCTTTAACCTTGTGATCTCTTCCTGATACTCTCGCAGCAGGGCATCTTTGGGATCCTCATTGATCTTTGGCTTGTTCTTGATGTTCTTGGCTCTATTTGCATACCTGAGAGTACTGAGGGTCTCATCATAATTATTGTCTGCTGGAGACAGGCAAGCCACCATGAGGGTTTTGGTATTGCCACCTAAAGAATCTTGCAGTAGACGTGTCAGTTTGGAATCACGATAAGGAATGTGCTTGGATTTTCCATCCACAAGGGCAGAGATTACATTCCCAAGGGCTGATAGGGATAAGTTGATTTTGGTTGCTTCTTTAAGTCTATCACCGGTAGCACCTTGAAAGTAAAAGCAAGATTTGGTTGTCAACCACTAAAATTAATATATTGGCATTGACTTGTAAAATGGTTCACTTTAATAAGAGAAAATGCACTTACAAAATCATTTCAAAATCTATAAAATCCCACTCACCAGTCTTTGCCTGTCTTTCGCTACCAGCCAAATCCACAAGGTTCAGCTTCCCAGCCCTGATATGTTCTTCTCCACTGTCATCTGGCTCACACATCTCCAGATTGATGGTAAAAATGGAGTGACTCCTCGAGGAGTCAGCGTTCATGAGAGTGGCCCCTGTGGAGCGGTTCTTCCACCCTCTCTCCATCACTGTTTGACAATCATTGACATTATGCACAGGATGAAGGGATAATCCTAAAGAAAGTATGATAACTTTTAACTCTAAAATCAACCCAAAAGTATTTATTAAAATGAAAACTGACATAAATAATGACAGGAGAAAGAACTTATTAAATTATTTCTTTAATGTTTTCTTTTCCTATAAAATAAAACAAAAGTAAATTTTAACAGTTGGCCAATTCGCTCCTGCTTGTTTGTTGGAAACATGAACTCTTTTTTGTTTTTAGTTGTTCATGAGACATGAACAATTTAGCTCATCTATAGGGAAACACTCATTTGAATCTACATTCCTCAGGCTTACCTGAAACATACACCCCTTTTTCTGGGTGCTCATGTAAATCCAGTTTGGATTTTACATCTTTTCCGAGAAGATCTCTGATTTCTTCATTGTAAATTTCTAAATAGGATGCATGGACTAAGAATTTTACATTATCTGTCACTGATATTGTCTCAAAGATATGATCAAATGCCCTGTAAAATAAAAATAAAAGAAACTCACATGTGTATTTGGCAAGTGATAGGTCAGCAATGTAATTTCTTCATTGCTAATATGGGAATAATGTCTACTGTCATGCAATGTTATAATAATTAAATTGCTAAATAGAAAACATTTTCACATCCATTGGTCAATTGTGCAAATTCATTTTAGATATATATTAGTTTAAAAAAATTAATGCAAAGAAGCTAAAAGGGCATTTTTGCTACATTCAAATAGAATATATACTTCCTCTGCTTACTTACTATACATATAAATGTGTGTGGTGTGTAACATCATACAGGATTTATTTATTTATTTATTTATTTATTTATTTATTTATTTATAAATAAATATCTAAGAAATAGGGTTCCTGAGGGTGAGCTACTCTTTCCAATATGGGGGGGGGGGGATGAGAATTTTTGATGGCTATCCGTCAACACCATCTAGTTTTTATATTTATTGATCCATTTATCTATTTATTCATATGATTATTTATTCATTTATTTGTAAGAGAGGGTGAGTGAGAATAACAAGAAAAAAGTAAATGAAACTGTGATCACAGCCCATGGTTACATAAACCGAAGGTCTTAAAAATGTTCCTTTTAAATTGAATATTACTGATTGTAGCATGAGGCAAACAAGTACAAAGTGCATTAACATGTTCTTGTCAGAAAAGCATGTGTTATTGATAGCTTACAGAGACGACAAGCAGCAAATAAAGAAAATGCATCAGAGAGGTATTCATCAATCTATACAACCACACACTTCAGTATGTACTGACATAATCATTACTCAGTGAAACATTGGGCTGGATTCAATTGTGACAGCTTATGACATTGATTCTGTTCTCACTACTAGCTGAGCTTTTCATTTATGAAATATTCAGTACTGTCAGAAATCAATATAACCTTTTCCTCTTGAATGTGTTTGGTTGGTCAACTAAAATTGCTTCCAATATCCTTTAGTGTAGTGGTGATTGGCATATTGAAAAAACAATAAGCATAGCCGCATGTCACTTTAAAGGTCATAACACTGATTAGTGTTTTCCAAGCAAAATGCAAGCAACTGTTTAAAAACACTGACAAAGTTAAAGAGCATTAAGATATATTTTGTAGTGGTCATATTTTCATGCTGGCCCGTGTCTACTGTAGTTATAACTCTAAGCAGTGGCTTATTATAGAGACCCCCAATCAACTCCTTGGAGAAATGGGCCAAATATTAGGCTGGTTGTCACAACATGCAAAAACAGTCTCCTAGATCATATACTTAAGCTGCAGGGTTCTAGAAAACTAATAGGGCCATAGGAGCGGGATAAACAAATCCATTCTTATCTTGAGTCATGCAGGGTTTTTTCTTATCTAAGCAAAATATTGTATAGGAAATTAAGTAAAATATGGAGAAAGACTTGAGGCACATTCAATGCTTATTTCAATACTAGTTAAAAACAAAAAGGACATTTTTTTCTTTCAAATCTATGCGGAACATGCAGCTTTCCTTTCAGCAACCAAATGCATTTTTCTCTGGTTTATAATATTAAGCAGTAAAATGCGTTGTTGCCAATGGCATGTTTTGATATCTTTTATTGAATTGTTAAGAGAATGTTCTTCTCTCCAATAGCTACATACTATTATGAGTGACATTAAATAAAATGTTGGAACTTGGCAAATATTTTCTTTTAAACAATGAGCAAATATTGCCTTGGAATAACAATAAAGGGCTTAAATTCCTACAAGTCTTATTTCTGTACCTCTTATATACAAAGGCCCCTTTTTTATTCATTAAGACTTACAATGACAAAAAAACAAAACAAAAATAAGCTAGTAAGTCCTTCTCAACAATTAATCTTAAAAATAAAGGAATATTAGAAGCACATATGTAAGAGGAAAGACTACTTGCAAAGCTCATTAAAATTTCTTGGTTAAGCCATATTTGCTTATGAAGTTATGAGAAAAAAATCCTACCAATAAAACTGATATTACAATTTTTTTTACGTACAAAAAAGAGTAAACTAAAAAAATTGCTAATAATACAGAACTTTTTTGAAACAATAGGCTAGACAGAATAAAAACAAGTGTCATGTGTTTTTTTGGCTGGGAGGGAAAGTAGGGAAATATTTTAGCTTTTTTGTTAAATTTTATTTTGCAATTCATTTTTAAGCACTTATCTACATGTATTTGAGGAAGCGGGAGAGACATACATCTTTACTTGCAGCTGCTGATTTATGCTCACCTTGGAATGATTCCTCTCTGTGTAGCTGGGTCAGTAATTCCCTGCATACTGAAAGACTTTCCACACCCAGTTTGTCCATATGCAAATATTGTACCATTATAACCTTCTGTTACACCCTGTAATTTCAAAACACCCTCAGTTACATGTATGTTCAAGTACATTTCTAGTACAGTCCATTATAATAATCAGAATTTCAAATACAGTGGTCCAGCTACATAAGTACCCAGTACATGTATATTCAGTATATAATGTATAAACCAAAAAAGCACAGCTCACCCCTATTTCAGGCTATTTTAACATCATTCATATCACATTCAGATAACATGAGAGAGAAATTACCTGATATTTTTGGTTGAAAGAAAATTACAAATTAACTTGCTTGGTGTACATATATAGTGGTGACACAAGACCAGTAACATGACATAAACACTGTGCACCATGCAAGTTCAGCTGCAATCTTTTTGTACTAAAAGGTAATATATCATCTTCATCTCATATTTTGCAATGGTGCTCCATGACATATATAGTCTCTCAATCATAAAAATAGGTACTTGTACTGATATATAGAACACAGCTTTGAACGATTAACTCCACACATTTACTCAAACATGAAATATTCCAAAAATACTGTCCAATAAATAGAATACATACCTCAACAAGTGGATATGCGATGTCTGCATAAATCTGTTCTGTTGTAGAGTCAATAAAGTAGGCTCCATCAAATGTGAAATTCTTTGGTGGTGCTTTTTCATCATTTGGATTAATAAGAGAACAACCACCACTAGCACTGTCCATAGAAACCACTAAACTACACTTGAGATCTTTTTCCCTTGAGTTCATAGGACGGCATCGCACCACCACTTTTACTGCCTCAGCAGCCATTACTGTAAAAAAAATTAATCATTGCTTTATCTGTCAGCAGTGTGAACAATCTATGACAGTCTCTACAGATAGCTGATTAATGTTATTTATCATGCAACAAGTGAACACACTCCATTCTTTTAAAATAGATTCTTGTTAAACAGCAAGATAACCTGGGTTTAAACTTAGTTTATAACATTTTAAAAACTGCTAGAGAATCAAACTATGTAAACCATTCACCCTTCATCTTCCTGATACCAGAGTAGTTGCAAGTCACAATGATTTCAAGTGCCTGACAAAACAGCCTTTCATAATGAACATCACGTGCTGTGTGCTTTATCCATGACAGTGCCTTCACAAAATACCCTTAAGCAATACTAATACAGTCAATTATGGTAATTCTTTAATTATGTATAGAACAAACCTAGGCACCTAAGTAAACACAGTAAATTATCTAAAACTCGCTCTTCCTTTTATTTTATTCTTTTCAAAGACATTGTAAAGATATATAATTTTGATTCTCATATTTTGATACTGTCACAATTTTTTTCCACCATATTTCTGTCAATATTAGTCTAATCTACAGTAGATAGGTCCTTGGGTCTTAGATGATAAATATTTACATAATCTGCATTTTAGAGGACAGGATGATTGCTGCCCCAGGCTTTAAATAGGACTGCATCAATAAAACAAAAACTAGAATCAAGCAGTTACTTTTATAACAGTAGCAATATCTGAAATTTTAACCTATATATATACCATACTGGCTAGAGTTGTGACAAATAAAAGTTATCACATCTATTCACATCTATAGCCATTAATTAATTATTCGAATTAACAGTTTTAAATAAAATCTCTAGCTGAAGAATAGATGTTAAAAGTTTATGATAATGCTTCAACTACCAAGGTGCACCTTCACACAATGTATCTATATAAGAACATGTACATGCCAGTTTAAGCCCCAGCAGACTATTGTCAGACAATTATTGATGTAACACCATTATAAACTTTATTTTACAGAAGGGAAAAAGAATATTGAATATTTGACGAATGTTGGATACACTAAAACATCAAAAAGTAAACTGATTTTGAGACCTGTCTGAAGAAAAAATTAAGGTTGAACTTCTCTCATGACAGGTAATGTTTTTGATAGTTTTTCAACAGATATATGACATTAATGTTACCAATAATAATCTTATTTATCTCATTTTGACAAACCTTGCCACTGGTCAACCATCTTGAGACAGTTTTGATTTGTGCAATACAAAAAAGCCAGTGCTCAAAGGCAAGGTGAAATTTGAAAAAAAAACAAAAAAACATGGATTATGGATTGGGACTTCTTAATTTTCTATAGTCGTTACAGAGTTATGGTAAGCATCATGAGGAGGATTAAAAGATGATTACTTGGAGAAAAAACAGTAACCTAGGAAAATCTGTTAATTAGGAATTTTTATAGAAAAATCTTACTCTGTGCATTTTTTGGTTCAAAAATAAACAATAACATCATCTCATCATTTCAGCTGATTAAAAGACTAGCATAATTTCTGCTAGATGAACTTATTTAATGTTAATCCAGTGACTTATATTAATTATTAACTGATTATTATTTAGAGACACAACTCTCTTATTGACAACTGAAGGTGAGAAAAAAGCAATTATACCAACTATGCACAAATCATATCTCAACTCGATGCATTATATACTCTTTAATTAAATAATTTGGTTCTAAATGCATGGCTAAACACTTTGACCACCATGTCTTCCATTTTGAAAGGAAATATTGATATTAGGTACTTTTATTTGAGGGGTTTTATCATTTTAAAAGATGACACAAAAGGATAATCTCAACCAAAAAGAGGCTGTTTGATAGTACAAGCCCTCTTGCCTATGTTCAGTACACATCACCCTGGTGACCTACAGGGTAATACNATGACGTAACCGCAGAGGTCGCATTGTCCAATGGCATGGCTTCTTTTTCGTAATGGTAGGTTAGAGTGGACCTGGCCAACGACACCCCGAGAGTTTGTTTTTTACGGTTTGATTGTGCGTATGCCATGCACGGAATTTACAAACGAGCGACGGAATGATGTAGCCTGCAGTATTAGCGGTAAGCGTGCCAAGTTTTAGGCCGCTCCGATGCCCGGCAGTATTTTATTTCGATTATTCTGTTGGAACTGGATCAGGTTTGTTTCAGAAGCTCATTCTATTTTATTGTCTCTATGGAGGTATATGGGGACTTTACGACATTCGGTTTGAAGGCTTTAACCACTTGTTATAGTTTATTTTTGCATTGTATTGGATTAATGTGGTAGTCCAAGGTTGTTGTAGGTGGTTTTCAAGTTTATGCACCCGGTTTTAATATCATTTAGCGATTTTACGACAATCGTTTACTATCCAATCAAGGTGACAGCCGAGCGTGACCAAAATGTACTGTGATTTGTAAGTAACAGTACATTTAAATGAAGACAACTGAATGAAAAAAAAACACATTAACGGAATGGAGCCCAAGGCAATGTGGAGATATTTTAACTGTTATCAAGCTACCTAATACCATACTAACAGTGAGAAACTAGGGAAAGATGGGGTGGGTTATGTTCACTATGACAGGATACCAGTACCAGTAGCCTCACTAAAGTAATGCTTTGCGTTGAACGAAAGTGCACTGTCATGAATGAATTCAATTTACCCTTTCTCAAAAAGGTAAGTCAAATTATAATAAAAGAAAATCCGTGGATGTATATGGCATTTTTGGTCATTAATTTAGTTTTCAAATATGAATCAAGCGAAACGAAGTAAATAAAATCATACTTACTGTGAAAATGTTACCCTAGAAACTATGTAAACAACTCTGTTAAAATCCGATTTACGGCCTCGTCAGAGCAAAAAGTTTGCGTGGATATAGGTATATAGCGCTATTTAGTCAAACCGTTCGACAGATCGAAAAGCCATCTCTCTATATTGCATGAGAATTACAATTCAATTCAACAAAACGAAAAATTCCATTCCTTTCCTCCATCTTGAAATCACGGCAGAGCCGAGCTTGACGGGAAGTGGACTCTCTGAACTTTTTCATGGAACACGTATGTATATAAGGTTTTAGGCAGGAATGGTTTGAAAATATCTAGTGACGTTTGGAAATATGTTTATTATTAGTATTTTGATGCAGTTTATTTCACTTTATTGCCTTTTCAAATATATTCTGCCTCAGTTAGAAAAGAGTATAGAGATTATTTGTCTCGTTTTCAAACACCGGCTGTTCAACATGGCGGATACCAAGGAAAAGCAAGATACAGAGAAAGAAACACAAAAAGAAAAGAAAACAGAGGAAGAAAATGAACCAGAGTTGGTAAGAAAACTTTAAATTGCATTGACGTGTACTTTTTCTTCATTTTATAATGCCAAAATTCCTTAAACACATAGAAATTTATCTTGACGGAGTTCATGATAGCTGTGCAAAATTTGCTGTGTCACAAGTAACGTACTCACATCAGCACATGGAATATTTCTTTTTTTCTTTTTCTTTTTAAATGATTAAAATGCCAAACAGTTTATTAGCAAGACTAACGGCTTTTGACAGTTGCAGGTATATGTCATAAAAGTGTATTTGTGTCACTCAGTGTGTGAATCAAATGTGAAATAATTTGTGCTGGTAGTTTGTCATTGTTTGATTAGAAAACTATAATGCAGATCGTAACTGGGAAATGCCTGTGTTTAGCAGACACATATGCTTATTTGGATTTTTTGACATGCTGATTAAGGTCCTTTTTAATTTTAGTCTGAGGAAGACAGGCAATTGCAAGATGAGCTTAACATGTTGGTGGAAAGACTTCAGGTAATTTCTTTCTTTCATATTTCCATAATTTTGAATCTTTTTTTTTTTTACTCATGGTAGTCAGTATTTGTCAAGTAACAACATGGTACTTTTTCAGTAATTGACCTACTTGGGTTAAAAAAGTGGATTTTAGGCTCATTCTCCACATGCATATTCTTACCTCTTCCAAGGAGGTTATGTTTTCACCCCTGTCTGTCTGTCTGTTTGTCATCAACATAACTCAAAAAGTCATGGACCGATTTGGATGAAATTTTCTGGGTAGGTGGGAAATGGGTTAACTTAGAAGTGATTAGTTTTTGGTGGTGACCCGGATCAATAATCAATCAATAATCAATAATAATAAAAAATTGCTGCCTTGGTGGAGGTCTGTGCTCTCGGAGTGCTTTTCTTGTTGTTATATCATCATTTCAACCTCTTTCAGGAGCCAAACCAAAAGCTTTACAAGCCAGCATTGGAAAGTATGAGGACTTTGATTCGGGCATCTACCACTTCAATGACCTCTGTTCCTAAGCCCCTTAAATTCCTAAGGCCACATTATGATACTTTAAAGCAAGTTTATGAGAAGATAAAAGATACAAAAACTAAGGTAATGTTTGGAATTTACTTTAATGAGAAGCACTATCCAAATTTTTTAAAGACATGCTCAGCATATGAAAGAAATATAATCTGCACTTTAAAAAGATATAAGTAAAATGTGTGTGTTAATATGAGAAATATAATTAATATTAGATTTTATTCTTACATTTTTCTTTGTCATAATTTTTCAAAGACATTTTTATCTTGAATTGTTTATATGCCTTATAGAGGATCCATGCTTGCTTCATATGTATATTTAAAAAGTAGCAGTAACTAACTCACGTAATTGAAGTACCCATCCATCCATCCATGAAAATAAATTAGCCAAAGATTGTTTGACCAATGTTTTTTAAAACAAATTTAGTCTTATTCTCTTCTCTTTTTTCAGGCATTCTGTGCAGATATCATCTCTGTGCTGGGTATGACAATGGGGGAAGGGAGAGATTGTCTCAAGTTCAGAATGCTTGGCTCACATGAAGAAGTTGGAGCATGGGGACATGAATATGTTAGGTAATATTCAAGTAGTTTTGTGACATAGTATCCATTGCCAGAAATACTGCTAGAGATGCCATTCCATCTGTATTACTAATAAAATAGTTTTCAATGTCTCATTAGTAGACAGTAAAAGGTCATGTATGCTCAAAGCTGTCCAACACCTTATAAGTTTTTTAAAATATCCGTGATTGAATTTGTATGAATTTAAAACTGTTTCTTTAATGTGTCCAGGCATCTTAGTGGAGAGGTTGCCCAGGAGTGGCAGGACACACCAGAAAAAGAGACCAAAAAGCGTGAAGAACTTCTCAAACTTGCCAAGCAGATTGTACCCTATTCCATGCATCACAATGCTGAGGCTGAGGCCTGTGACTTGCTGATGGAGATTGAAAGGCTGGACCTGCTTGAAGATTATGTAGATGAGAATGCATTCCCTAGGGTATGCTTGTATCTGAACAGGTATGTTCTACAGTTTTATAAACAAAACAAAAATATTTATTTGATCCCAGTGATTGCAACTTATGCCTCTACTGGTGATAGCTTGTTTACCCACATAGAATATTATTTCCTACTAATGTTTATATGATCCATTTGTTGCTATTGCTGTAACTTTTCAATTTGTATTTGTATTTAACTATCTTGAAATATGTCACATTTTTTCTTTGGTATATAATTTTTATGTTTAATATGTCATAAGCTAATGAATATTATATTTGACTGAAGCCAGTATTTCACAGTTTTTTGTGTGACTGTTCTACCACTGTCTGTTATCTTTTGTATCAGCTGTGTTCCCTATGTACCAGACCCAGAGAATACAATTTTGTTGAAGACAACTCTCACTATTTTCCGTAAATTCAACCGTTACCCAGAGGCTCTCCGCTGTGCTATGGAACTAAATGATACAAACTTAGTGAAGGAGATCTTTTTGTCATGCAAAGACTCGTAAGTAATGATTTCTATTTTCATTCTTGTGCCATGTGTTATTGTTGAATTTAAAAAAATTATTGTAGACTTTAAAAGATTTGTATTTTGTTTCAATTGACAGGCATCAATTTTTCTGGTCTTAGTCGCTGTGTGGAATCCTAGGTTGGCCCTGGTTAACTTAAGTATATGAAATGCTAATTATTTCATCACTTGAATCTATTTTCAGAATGATTCAGAAGCAGCTAGCATATATGTTGGGCAGACAGCAGATCTTTTTGGAGTTGGATGATGAAATGGATGATTATGATGATCTAGTAGAAATCATGTCCAATGCACATCTCAATAATAATTTCCTAGCACTTGCAAGAGAGGTAACACAGTTATTTCATTATTGTCCCACATTGATATGCTGATGTATCCTAATACTTATTTTCAGTGACTTTCATGACTGTGTACTGAGATTTTCACTCTCCTTACTGTTCATGGTTTGGCTTCTAATATTTTCAAACCAAGTTGGAATTTGGACCTTTGTGACTAGCATAACATTTCAATGTATTCAGTTACCAAGTACATCCACCCACTTATTAGAGGAAAATAAATTGTTTAATGATATATCATGTTTGTAACACAACCAAACCTGTTCTAATTATTACAGTTGGATATTATGGAGCCTAAAGTACCAGAGGACATTTACAAGAGTCACCTAGAACCCAACAGAACAATTGGACCTTCTAATGTGGACTCGGCCAGGCAGAACTTGGCAGCATCTTTTGTCAATGGATTTGTAAATGCCGCATTTGGACAAGACAAACTGCTGATGGAAGATGGCAGCAAATGGATCTATAAAAACAAAGAACATGGTATTGATATTGTCAGACTCCATTTGGCTTTTGTCCCAATTATGAATCACCAACTTGTAAAGCTAATTTGTTTATACCTATGTTATCAGCATCACAACTACAGTCTCTAAAAGCAACATCCACCCACACCAAAACTAGTTTTCACACATCAGCAACACATTTTTTAATGACCACAATTGATTTTACTTATATTTATCTATTTTATTCAAGGAAATTATTTTATTGACAGATCATAATAATTTTCATTTTATACTTGTATAAGTATAAATACGACAATAAATGATAAATATTATTGCATAATTCAAATTTGAGATTTATCTAATTGCATATTGTTGGTTAAATTTAAAAAATGGTTATGGTTATAAATTAACAGGTGTAATGTAAGAGTATGTTGGATAATAGAATTATGGTTCTAGCCATGGTTTCCATAATGATGGATGTTCACTATATGCTTAGCGCAGGCTTTCATAAAATTGTATTTTTAAGATCTTTGTTTTGCTTGCCCTTAAGAATATTTTGAACAACACATGTATTGGGTATTTTCAGGAATGCTTAGTGCCACAGCTACTTTAGGTCTCATCCTCCTGTGGGATGTTGATGGTGGCTTGACACAGATTGACAAATACCTTTACTCTTCAGAGGACTATGTAAAAGTAAGGATGAATAATAGTTGTATTGTTGATAGTTCTACTTTTGAAATAAGTTTTAAAAAAAGTAAAAAGTTCTCTTTTGCTGTACCCCATTTTTCAGATTTAGCTTGTCTGTGGCAATTGCATGACCTATGTAACATTAAACAGCATTATAATAATGCATCAGTAAATTAGTTTTAAGTAAAATGAAGAATATTAAGTGTATTGAAGTGTTTTTTTATTAACTAATTGACATTTTGATTACAGTCTGGAGCTCTGCTTGCTTGTGGCATTGTAAATAGTGGTGTGAGAAATGAATGTGATCCAGCACTTGCTTTATTGTCGGACTATGTACTTCACAGCAACAATATTATGAGGATAGGGTCTATTGTAGGGTAAGTGATAAGCTTTAACTGCCTGGGTTGAATTTCGTTTATGAGCTGTTTTCACTGCTAGTTGCAAATTACATACATAATGCCTTTAATGAAGGTTTGATTATTGCAATTTGTTATGCTAGAAAATTAAAAGGAAAAAATTTAAACTGATTTTAAATATAAAAAATTGATTTTTTTGTAAGCAGAAATGAAAGTTTTTTTACATATGATGCATTTCAGTTTGGGCTTGGCCTATTCTGGCTCCAACAGAGAAGATGTCATCAGTTTGCTACTACCAGTGATGGGAGATTCTAAGTCTAACATGGAGGTAAAACTAAACAAAAGTGATTTGACTATTTAGGAGTATGTTCTCCATTTGAGAAAGGATTGCAGTCCTAAAGCATGCCTATTTATCGTAGTTGAACACAACCAGATCAGTTTATTATAAATGCATATGATGTAACACAGTTTATTAATTTTCTATAGGTTGTGGGCATGGCAGCTTTGTCATGTGGTATGATTGCAGTAGGCAGTTGTAATGGAGATGTCACATCCACAATTCTACAAACGTTGATGGAGAAATCTGAATTAGAATTGAAGGATCCGTATGCCAGATTTTTAGTACTAGGACTGGCTCTTACCTATTTGGGTAAGGTAACTAGTTGAAAAAGAGCACAGTTATAGTTTGATTGTCATGAGTAAATGATTTTTTTATTGAAGTACTTATGTTCATTGTCACTCATTTTCATAATCCATTCAAATCTTGGTTTGGATATTTTAAATACTGAATACCATATTATAATAAAACTTAAAAGAAGATATTTATTTTTAATATGTGCCCCATGTGTGTATTTGAATATAATATTCTGTCTTGTAAATATTTACATTACAAAAGGCAAACAAGAATCTGCAGATGCTGTGTTAGCAGCCTTAGAGGTGATGGCTGAGCCTATCAAGTCTTTGGCAACTATAATGGTGGACATTTGTGCCTTTGCAGGTGAGAATGAAGTTGTTGTGAGCATTTTGAAATGGGATCATCCCCTTGTAGCTTGACTAGTTGTGGGGAATGAGTGTAATGATTTGAAGACATAATAAATATGCAGTGAAGAGAAAAGAAGGCAGTATTAACATGTCTGTCCATCTTGGTTTGTCACTGCTAGATCAAAGAGCTTGTAATATCCTACGACATAGTGGTTTACAACTTAATCGTGTGGAAACGCTTGCTACATTTTTCCTTTTGATTAGCAGGAATACATATGTTCATGTTTTTCTCTTTTTTTTAAGTAGTAATAATTGACACGGTATTTTTCACATTAGCCAACTGCTACTTACACAAAATGATAACATAGGGAAAAGACATGAAGACACGTTTAGATGAATGTAAAAAAAAAATTTTTTTTCCTCATGTCAAATGTATATCAGCTATTTGTAACTAATTATAGACATTTTCTCTATTTTTAGGAACGGGAAATGTTTTGAAAGTCCAGCATTTACTCCACATTTGTTCTGAACATTATGAGGAAAAGGTAACTGTTCTTCTGCATTTTTAGCAAAAAAATGCCATCATTCATTTCAATTTTTATATATATTTATATATAGTACTGTAGTAATCTATGTAAAGTGGTTATTGCTGTGCAGGAAAGAAAAAAGATTGTAGTCTATTTGTGTGAGTAACCTGGTGGACCTCAGAAAGCTGGTAACCTGTGACATATTTTCTGTAACTTGCTGCATTAGAGCTTTTTTTGATAAAGTTTCTCTGGTATTCAAAATTCTCTTATAATTTTATTTGCAGAGTTTAACATGTGAAACTATGAAATGCGTAATGAATTATTTGTAATTGGGCAGTTATGCATAGTCTTAAAGTTCTTTTATAAATGGCAGGATGAGAAAGACAAAGATAAAAAAGATGATAAGAAGAAGAAAGAGGACAAAAAAGAAGAGAAGAAAGAAGAAGAAAAGACAGAAGACAAAAAGGAGGAAAAGAAGGACAATTTGGTAGATTTAGCAGCTCATCAAGGTATGATATTAAGAACATTTGTTGATAAATTGTGACAACATAAGCTACTGACTTGATGTTTGAATGCTTCAGCAATTTTAAGTTCACCATGATTAATGTTTTCAACATAGTATTGTGATGAAAGTGTTTTTTCACTTTTTTATTTTCATATCCAGGTGTTGCAGTATTAGGAATTGCTCTGATAGCAATGGGTGAAGATATAGGGGCAGAGATGACTCTCAGAACGTTTGGAAGTTTGGTATGTTTTCAGAAAGTGACTTTGTGTTTTCAGAGATATGCCAGTGTGATAAGGTAATAATCATAACCCTCACCCTTTCTCTATTAAGCAAATGTCATTGTGTATTTAATGACACTGTTAACACTATCATTTACAATACCATAGAGAGCTTCTTAATTCTTCTTGATTTAGTATTTTTCTTTGGAATTATTATTTATTTGTTTATTTTAGTTGAGATATGGTGAACCAGCTATCAGAAGGGCCGTTCCCCTTGCCCTAGCCCTGGTATCGGCATCCAATCCTAAACTCCAGATCTTGGATACTCTTAGTAAATTCTCTCATGATAGTGATCCAGAAGTTTCATACAATGCCATTTTAGCTATGGGTATTGTGGGAGCAGGTAAGTGCAATATCTTGTAATTTTCACACTTCTATTTTTAAGTATCTTACTTTATATTTTACTTGATATCCAACCACCTTTGAAACTTGAAACCACCTTTAAAACTTCTTTATATTATTTTTTTAACATGACTGAATTTTTTTTTTTTTTTGAAAATAGGTTAAACTAAGTTTTATAATGATATTTATTTTTGTGAAGGGTTTCTGAATTCTTTGATGTAATCAATAAAAAGCATTTTGCACAATTGTCAAGATATGTTTTTATTTTCAGGTACAAACAATGCCAGACTGGCAGCCATGTTACGCCAGTTAGCAGTGTACCATGGGAAGGACCCTAACAACCTGTTTATGGTGCGTATAGCCCAGGGACTAACCCACATGGGCAAGGGCACGCTGACCACTTGTCCATACCACAGTGACCGTACCCTACTCAGCCCAGTGGCAGTGGCAGGACTCATGGCTGTGTTGGTGGCATGTTTGGATGTCAAGACAAGTGAGTTAATGACAGCATATTTTGAATTTTTTAATGTTTGAAATGGTTTCAGAATAATTTGTTGATTTTTTTTTCACATTTTTAATAAATAATGCACTCTTTATGTTATTCAAATCTGCCATATTGGTTGCATGTTTTTATGGAGGTATTCTGAGGGGTATAAATTCCTTTTGTGATTGGCAAGCTTATTAATAAATAAAAATTGAATACCTGTCCTTAATTTATTTTTCTTTTCCTCTTGTCATCTAGTTATACTTGGTAAATCTCACTATGTACTGTTCAACTTGGTGCCTGCTATTCAACCCAGAATGCTGGTGACATTTGATGAAGAGCTAAGACCACTGCCAGTACCTGTAAGAGTTGGACAGGTGAGCTTAAATCCTTCCAATGCTCTAGATGTGTTTAATGTACAAGATAAAATGTAATTTTTGGGGGGTAAAATAGAATTAAAGAATCTGTCTGCAGAATGAAAGAAAATAAATTTTTATGCACAATATCAGTTTTGTTCCCAATTTTGTTTTTTAAAGGCTGTAGATGTTGTGGGCCAGGCAGGCAAACCTAAGACTATCACAGGATTCCAGACACACACCACCCCAGTACTGTTAGCATATGGAGAAAGAGCAGAGCTGGCAACAGAAGAATGTATCCTTTACACTGGTTTACTGTATTCACATGTATTTTTCCTGCTCAGTTAAAACCCATTTCGCTTATTAAGAGGTACTAGCACTATTTTTAGCCAACAAAACATGCCATATATTTTAAGAAGACACAATGTGTATCTATGGAAAATTTCAATTAAAAAACACTTTATATCAAGTCCATTTTACTTAGAACAAAAATGACTTAGTTTTGTCATGGGTAGGTAGAAATTTTGTTTCGTTTGTCAAGTAACAAATGTTGATTATTTTGTGTAGAATTTCAGAATATTTCTTTGACTGTAATCAGATTTATCCCTCACACCAGTAATGGAAGGTTTTGTTATTCTCAAGAAAAATCCAGACTATGAAGCTTGAAGAACACCTGGTCCCAAAATGAATATGAAAAAATTCGACTTGGACAGAGTAGACATTTAAGTCAGTTGGATGATATATGAACAAAAGTCCTTGCCATCTTGTTTACACATTATTTTTGAGGTCTCAGTGCAAGTTGCTGCCAGACAATGTTACTTGCTATCTGTTGCCAGTTATAAGTGTGTGAAAGGGAATGACTGGTTTAAGTTTATCCAATCTAAATGATTTCAAGCATCAGTCTTCTGAAATGTGAACACTACTCCAGTCCTTTATAGAGCTTGAGTTGAGACAGAGGAACATAAGAAGAATGTCCTAAATGTATTGCAAATGCATAACAAAAACTACTGTATGTGATATACATAATGGTAATAAACATTTTATTTGTACAATTAGTTATTTTCTACACTTTTGAAGTAGAATTATTATTAAATACTTCAAATTGTCAATTAAATTGAATTTTCAAGTTACCACATTTGACAGCTTTCACATGAATCATTATTATCGCATACATCCTGCTAATATAATCTGTATAAAAATACTAAAATGGTACATATCAAACTAATACACATTCTGTTCATGCATTAGTGGAACACAATTGGGATAACCTATTCCCACACCTGAAAAAATAACTGGTTTTTTACTTTGATCAAAATCGAGTGGATTTTTAACAGCACAAAATTTAAAGGATCATAATATTCATTTATCATATTGTAATAGTTTAAGTAAACATGTGAACTTCAATGTTCTATCTGTTAATTTGAAATATTCTACCAGAGAGATTACTTTTTTAGCAAAAACAGGAATTCTTCAGTCCAGGAATAGCCTCTATAAGATTAAAAAAAAAATTGTTCTCAGAAATTTGTATTCATAATAAATATCAGAGTTATACCTGCAGTAAACTAAAAAATGTGAGGAAAATGTATTGCCAAAGTGGCTGCTGTTGAATATTAAGTAAAATTGCAGTTTTCATCAAATTTCATCATGGCAAGTTAAGACTACTATTTTATTATCCCCTTTTTATACAGTCTTTTGCACCAAAGGAAACTACCTCGTAGTATCAGTTGATGTTCACTTTCCACTCTAAACTAGTTCCTACACAAGTTGAATTTGCCGTGAAATAACTTTGATAATTGGACACAACTGTTTCAATGTCCTCACTGTCTTGGTGGCCGGTTGTAGCTATCAGAAGCTTTATAAACAGCATGGTAAGCATCCCTAAGTAAGACATATGGGAAACAAGACTCCAGCAAGTCCATTGTCAGGAAAGGAGATTCTTGGACAATCTGAAATGAAAAAGTGCAATGATCTTTATGTTTCACAATTTTAAAATAGGGTGCCTTTCTGGTTTTCTGAATATTATAAGTTTATAATGCAGTGTTCTATAAAAGGATTTCTAAACTGTTATGGTAGAAATATTTGTCACTTAAAATGATTGAAGTTTTGGGATGCAGCAGAAAGATTTTGACCTTCGCTCATTTATCTCATCCTCCATAACTCACATTTTAACCTCCTTATAACTTACCTGGTCCAGTAAAATGTAAACAGACTCCCTGTGTTTAATACTCTCTTTATCCATCTCTTGACCAAGCCTCAACAAACTGGAAGATGCAAGCTGAAACAGACAGTACATAGCAGTGTGAACTGTTAATATCATCATTTGTTTTTAGATTATATGTGTAATACATTTCATATAATAACAATTCTAATGTGTAGCAAAGTATTTCTTCACCTGCCACTTATCTGCCATTATACACTCATGTATGAAGACAATTATACACTTACAGCTAAGAATTCTTTCAGCCTGTCCTCCACATCTCCAGGTCCATACACAGTGAACATGGCTCCAGCCAGAGAGTTGATGGCCTTGCCCAGGCAGTGGCTGTTGTTGACGTGACCTTAAGAGATAATGTGGAACTGCCATAAATCAAGTAATAACTTTCCCCCATGGAGTAAATACAGAAAGAATACACAAATACATGAATTTAATTTAACAGAAAATGTATTTTTCAAATGTAAGGTGATATAAATGTATGAGTTGAATATAAGACTTTGGGAATACCAAGCAAAATCTGTATATAATATTTTTTTCAATGTCAACACTTACTTCACCAGTTTGATAGTGTTGAGGGTTTGATTTTATTTTTTTCCTCTGAGATATTAAATTGCTACTCAATGGATGCTGTAAATTATACAAGATGATTTACCTTCCAGAGCTGCTCTAAATGTGGAAGCCTCAGTTCTGGCCAGTTTGGGGAGGGCCACTGCAATAAACACCATCAACAAACAGGACACATTGTATTCATCTTCTCCTGTTTCTGAAAGGTATATTTATCATTTCCTATGACAAAAGTTACAAGGAGATACTATTGTCATCTTATCTTAAAATATTCTTAGTAAAAAAGGTTAAGGAGAAATTCAACAATATGCTAATTTGCAAAGAATCTGCAATAAAGAAAAATACAAGTTGGTTTTAAAAGTAAGAATGAAAAGTAACTATTATATAATACTTCATTGGAGTGTGCAAAAAGAAGAAAACAAGTTGGCTTAAATAGTAAGAATGAAAAATAACTATTGAATATAATACTTAATTGGAGTGATTCCAAAGGATTGTTCATAACTACAGTAATCACTTTACAGACATAAGATAACCTTTACAAACTAAACTACTTTGACAAAATTCAGAAAATAAACATTTCTGGCTTCAACACTTACCATTTTTCTGAGCCCTGAGAGCATTGCATAAGGCCGGATCTATGTCACAAGGAAGGCCTGCAGCACTGGCCATTTCATTGACAATCTAAGGTAAAAAAACTTTTTGAATATTGGAATTTTAAACAGTATTAGTTTCATATGGAATAAACTTTGCCATGTTAAAATTCTGAACTAAGAAAAATCATTGTAAAAAGTTGAAACCTGAAGCAAAAATTGATCAATGAAGACTTAGACACACAATGACTGTGTTAACTAAAAGCTTGTAGTGATTTGCAGATAGAAATTGCTCTTTTCCCGAGAGAAATAGTAACACACGTGTTATCTCACACTTTATAAATTTCTCTACTTGAAAGACTCAGCAGTGAAAAAGTGCTTAAAACATTTTATATCTTTAAAACGAAAGTTAAACACTTTTCAACAGAAGCTATGTTGAATGTGCCAATTTTTATTTCATTTTTTTTCAATAAGACACCTACCAACTTTGTTTGTATACGCTTGCTCTAAAATAAACAAAAAAGCATTGAAAATAAAGAAACAGAACTGGTAGGGTTATACTACTAAAGTAAAAGCAATTGAACACAGAGCTAGATAGGTAAGCATCACTATCTGTGCTGAAACAGTTAGCACCAAGTAATAAAAGCACCTGTTAGGAAATTGTTCCAAATGTTCCAAAGTGGGAAAACATCAAAACATCAAGGTGTCAGGGAGCAAGTTTCAGTAATAATTACCAACATGAGAGTAACGACCAGCATTAAGAAATTAATGAAATAACTGGGTGATCCACAAAAAAAAAATCCATCCCATTTCTATTAAATGACCAAGACAGTGAGATTGGAACAAGGAATTATAAAGGGGTGCTAAGAGAAAATAGAGCAGGTATTTTATTATCCTAGTTGCCAGTTAGATGGTCCACATATAAATGCCATGCAATAGACCCAGCACCAAAGTTGACCTGGCATAATTATCATCAACTGGACAAATCAAATCTATTTGTCCAATACTATTTAGCTACATCTGTCAAAATTCCACCCAAACTAGAGGCAATAATTTGGTTAAAGCAGAATTGCACTGTTATAAGGAAAAAGCCATGCTTGCCAAGTTGGAAGCACATCCATGTTACCACAATTAGTGGCACTGAACTTAGCTCTAACTATCAAAGCACATATATTAGTACACATTTAAATGGTAACATAATCCACGTTAAGAATGAAACAGCCAACTATAATACTAAAAATCATTAAACAAAACAATGGGCTATTTTACTGGCTTAAAAAAATATCTATTTAACTGTCAGCACCTGACTCCGAATGGTTGCCAGCTTCAAATGCATTGTAGGAAAGCCATTATAATTCCATTAATATGCATGTTTATATGTGAATCATTCCAAGTAAAGAAGTTGTGCTTATTATCATTATAGCATTTCACAATAAAAATTTGTTGCAAATAAATAAATTTAAGTTTGAATAACATTTGTGCAGCAAAATTTTTCAATTAAATTAAAATGTCATAAGGGAGAGTTAAAACAATCTGAATATTTACATAACTTTCATCATAAATTAATCATAATTTATACAAAAATAATATGTAAAAATACACTATTAGACGTTAAATTAATTCTACCATAAAACAAATGTATGCAAATTATTTATCACAAAGCTAAGGCATACAACTCAAAAGCACAACATGTTTTCTATCTGCCATTATCACTGTACAGTGGAAATGAACATTAAAACTATATTTTTCACGCCTTGTATATTACCTGCTTAAAAAGAGGGGAAAGGTATCATCTGATAATTGTGTCAATAACTTACCATGTTATCCTGGCCATTGGGAGGATGTTGATGGAAATCACGAACAGATGACAGCAGGAAGGGAACACGTTCTTCAAGTACCTAGCATGACAATATATTACATTACACTGTAGTAAAATCACATGTACGGGTGTGCATGTGAGTGTGTGTGTATGTGTGTGTGCATGGGTGCATGCATGTGTGTGTAATTCAGAATGCATACAACAATTTACTGAATAACAAACTCAGAGTAAAAAGGGAAAAAGATGAAAATTGCAGAGGGTATTGTCACACTTGCAAGCAGAACTTACGTCTGCCAAGGCTTCCTGAGCCAGTGCTCTAAAGGACAGCAAAACCCCTATGATGGTCATTCTCTGCAGGACACTGTCCACACCTAGAGGAGACATGACCATTAAAACATGAATATAAAAAACCCCAACACACGATTCTATTAAAATTCATGACTACTTAAATGATAATATGGGCTTTGGGGTAATTTCTTATTATTTTATTAAGGAGATTAATACTAATAAATACACAGGTTTAAGCAAACTGATTTGCTACTCTTTAAGTCTAAATAAAATGCTGTTAACAGACCTTCATAATAACATAAAAGATACTAACTGGTGTTAACAATTTTAACGTACAATAAATTCAACATCAAACAGCACCTCATTCTGATACTGTGTGCCATGCAAAGGATCATACAACATTGATTTTCTCCATTAATGCACGTTGTTTATCATTCATACTATAGCAAAAGTGACACATAACAAAGATTTCTAGTTAATATACAAAAATCATGTGTGAGTCATGAAAGTAAAACATGCAAAAACAACACATAATGTGGGGAATGAAAATGAATAAATAAACTGAAATAGTGACATTTACTTTTTAGCTTTTTCATTTTGGATGGGGGTGTTCAACAAAAAAGGATAACTGTTAATCTAAATCTTTGGTGTTAAAATATATTAAACAAATATTGAAATGGAAACCACCTGATTCTGATTTAAAATTTTCGATCCTTTCTCCTTACACCTCCTTTTCCCTCCCTCTTTCTGACCTACCCTTTATCATATATATATATATATATATATATATATGATAAAGGGTAGGTCACTTCATCAGAATCATATGGCCAATATCCAGAGAAACTACCACAGTACAACAGTAAAATTGAAGCCTGCTGCCTTGCCCTGCCTATCACATTGCTGGCATGCTGGTAAGCACTAGGGAGACAACTAGTGACACCGATGAACTTGAAAGTGAATTACACATTCAGCTTTACTGCTGACATTAAGTTCAAGTTCATGGGCAAGGCAGAATTGTAACAACTGTAGAATATCAATCTTACTTGTGGCCGTTTTGGGTTCTTGCAAATATCAAAGGAAAGGAAGTTACATCACATAAAGATATTACTGCTATTTTCAATACATATTCCAGTTTAAAGTTAAACAATAATTGGGTGGTAGAAGAATTTGGAACCATGACTCTTTACCACTTGCTGATCCAAAATTATGCTCTGCCAAAATTGTAAATAAAAGTTAATGTACTTCATTTGCTGAACATTATCTCAACAGAATTATTATTTTGTCCTTTGCTCTGGGTCCCACAATTTGCTTGCATATAACAAAACAAAAATTGCATCCAAAATATCACATTCTTCAAAGATTATTAAAATATCTGGTCATAATGCTAAATAACATCAAAGCAAGCTTATCCTAAAATATTGTTGAAGGCTTGGCACAAATACATCAATTGTTCCAGTTTTCCAATCTAACTAGTTGCTTCACTAAACCTTCACAAATGAAAATGAAATCTTTATCCCTCAATTGTCTTCATAACAAAAACAAAATTTTCATAGAACCTCATGTTCAATCTTTTTTATTTTCTCTTCCGCTACACTTTACAAATCCACTCAAATAACTCAATAATCCTTCCACTTATCAGCTGTCATTGGCAAATGTGTACTAAAGTTAAAAATTACTACTCTTCCTATCTTTAGATTTGTCAAAACTATACTTAACCTAATTAATGATTAGATATAAAAATCAATTGCAAAGCTAATTTTTTTAATTTCAGAGAGATATTCAATTCAAATTGTTCAGAAAAAATTTTGAAAATGAATGTTGTCCATCTTTAACTGCAGTCAAATATAATCTGGAATCAAATGTTTTAGTTAAATTTTCTTATATACCAATATAAAGTGTTCTAAATATGAATTAGTTTGATCTAAAATGTGTATAATACGTTTTAAGTCTTTATATATCTCTTTCATAAAAACATCTATTAAACTGTCAAAGGTATGGATTAAATTTTTTTAGTTCATTAAGCTTTTCACTTACTTTGTAACCTCCTAAATAGCTCTCTCATTTGTTCTGGTTTATCAAAACTTGTCCTTAGCTGGCTTAAAACCTCCTTGTTCACTACTACTAATTTCTGGAGACAAAAGTCACAATTACAATTTAAATCAAAATATGTTTGGAAATAATTACAAACTTTTGATAGCAAGTACTGAGTCATGTATAGAAAGAAATATCATAACATCTTTAAGGAAATAAAAATATCAATGTAGATAAAAAAATTATCTATAATAGAAGTAAATCGAGAAACAATTTCAAATTTCCTACAAACCCCCCTACCTTGAGCTCTTCCACTTGACTGGAGATGTGCCACATGAGTCTCTCACTAAGGTACTTCATGCCATAGGGACCTATCAACTCTGCCAGGGCACGCAGCTCTGAAATGTAAAACAGTCACATTATGTTAACCTAGAACCAGACAGACATGAGAACATCTTACACAGCACCAACATCCCTTTTTAAACTTTTTACATCAGTTTTGTTTTATCAACTACTATTTCTGATCAATGCATGTAATGCTTCCTACCCATGATGTCAGCATATTCTTCAGCTGTGAAAGGAAGTTTTTCTTCTGAGGACAAACTGACAAAAGCCTTCTGATTGGGTGAGTAGACTATGTGTCCAGAACTCACTTGTCTCATTAACACCTCCAAATACCTGGTGGGGAAGGAGATATATACAATACATGATACATTATAATATACAGCCATGCTGGGTGGGTATGATGTGACTTTATGTTTGGAAAAGATTTTAATGTAATAATATGATTAAATGAATTCAAATCTGAGATTATTGACTTTAACACCTTATGATGAAATAACTAGTATTTATATTGCAAAGATGAGCTGTTTTCATCAATCTCAAATCTGTTTAATTTTATTCAATATAAAATCAAGTGTCAACAATTTTATTATTTTGACATAATTTTGAGAATCAGCATTTTATCTAGCAAAACACTGCAAGGTTATTGTGTAATAAAAGTAACCTACCAGTTTGTATAAATGGAAGTGATAGTTTTTTCACCTGTGAAACTATCATTGGCTTGTGTCTGCTGTGGCAATACATTGTTGAAAATTCTGGCTATATCAACATGAACTGAAACAATGAGATATACTAATTATCTTCCAATGAGCATGACACACCATAATACTACAGGATGAGTTATCTTTATAAATAAGATTCTGCCTTCAGGAAGCCAGAAAAGAAAAAAATATTCTGTTAATACATATTCAACTACTGTAGAGTGAAGATAATGAGATGTATGACTCCACACAACAAAAATTAACAGAATAACACAATGATATGCAAGTTTCGATTCATTTTAAGTTTTATTTTAGCCTGCTGTTTAATCTGACCAAAATGTGTATTACCGTAGTTTTCTATGCTCTGCAGCACATTCATTATTGCTTTGACACTGTTCAATAGTTCAGAAGGTTTTGCAATCTCACTGGTTTCAGGATTGAACATCATCATCCCAACCAATGCTCTGAAAGAGACATTTAAGTAAATATTATATAACTTGCAGATATTAAAAAACAACTTGCAAAAATCTTGCACATTATTAAGAGGATGAAATTAACAGAAAAGGACAGCAAGATGATGATAATGATATCTTACTTAATATGATATGATATGATATGGTATGATAATTTGTTCTTTCTGCAACAGACCTCATCAGAAAACTGAATGTTACACAGCTTTTTTAAAACCTTAAAAATGCAATACTTTAAAATCTTTTAAATTCATTTTATCAAATATAATTTTTAATACAAAAGTTTAACTTTCAGTAAAAAAAAAAAAAAAAAATATATATATATATATATATATATATATATATATATATATATATATATATATATATATGAATTTCTCTCACTTCTTACAATCAAATACTAAATCCTATATCTAAACAGAAACACAGTTTGTTGTTGATCTTACTTATTAAATCTGGTCTCTAGATGTTGGATAAAGAACTCTCTGGGTACAAAGCCATGTTCCCATACTTGTATAATACTGCAGTAGTTAAGAGCATAGCACAACTCTGTCAGGGCCATGTGGAGCTTGTCCATTCTAAAAAACAAATCGGTAATTTAGTCATACATGAAAACATCAAAATTCATTGTGGCAAAATAATAAATTCTGGTTTAACTTTGAAAAGTAAAATACTTTTCAACAATTGACATTTTCATTAATGAATTCAACTCTTCTAAAATGATTCAGAAATTTCAACAATAAAAGGGGAATTCCATTCAACAGATTCACACACTTCTATACACACCTTACAATTCTAGTTTTTTTCAGGGGAGATCAGCTGTACATACTGAAGGTAAGTTCAACTGATGTATGTATGACTGGGGTTTAAGCACCAGACTTGATAAAACAGACCTTGTAAAATCTTCCCTATTCCTTCTGTAGCTTTCAGTTCCTGGTTTGACCATCTCCTGTCCTGCCTGCTTCTTCTTGTCTCTCCTCTTCTTGTTCTGGTAAACCTGGGCCAGCTGGGCAGCACAATTCTTGGGAAGAAGCTGAAACACAAATAATTTCACTATATATTATTCTGGTATCTTGTAAAAACTCCAGCACAACTAATGGTCTGTATCCAAACATCTTTACATCTTTTGAGCATTTAGAGCTTCAACTGGCTAATGCAACATATGGAGCCATTAAATTTGAGAGACAATTTAAGCAAGACAGATAAACTTCAGTGTCCGTGCTACCAATACTGCTTGCACTTAGAAAGAAGATATGCACCCCCCCCCCCCCACCACACACACACACACACACCAATAAAAATATCACTGCTTACCTTGTCAGCTAGCATGCACTGTTCCTCACATATAAAGGTGATGATCTGGTTCACCTCCTCAGACATTTCCTTCAGGAACCAGTTGGCGTACTGGATGCTGGTTGTGCCAATGGAGTGGCGCTTATTTCAAATTATATTTTAAATGTTAAATTTTTGAATTTTTTAAAAGGATATATGATCATTTTGCTATTTATATTTTCTTTTTAAAGGCAAGATGTTTTAAATTATTTTCTACAAAAGTCTCTGGTATTCAGTATTCAGTATAGTGCTAAAAGAGCATAATTAATTTCTCTCTATGTATTGGATGATCCAATTAAACATCATACTAATATTGAGCTTATGAAATAAAAATTTTAATATCTTTACTTCCTCATAAAAGACAAATGCAGTGTAGCTAACATTAACATTTTTCAAATATATATATTAAACATACAAAACCCAGTGACTCACTAAATCTGATTTTACTCACCTCTTCTGGACAAAGTTCGTGTGTAGCATTCATGAAGTGAGCACAGACCAAGGGGAAGGCAATGCTGAACCTGTGCTGGGCTGGCAGCTCCATACATTGCTTGAACTGGAGCTCAAATATGGTGGTATGAAAACTGACCATGAAAAATATGACAGTTATGTTTTATTAACGTTCAGAAAGCAGTTTAATCTTATTGGCATGTATTCATAATTTAAAATGAATTTAAAGCTTTAAAGAGACTATTTTACACAATTCTAGGCTTAAACTAGCGTGTAAAATCCCTACAATATGCTTCAATTGACAGAAAAACCAATTAAGTGATTTGACTACATCAATAATTTTCACATGTAAACCCAGCAATAGATAATCTGCATGTGCATCTCCACAAAACTTAAAAGTGGTACCAGTGAGATCACACTCACCAATAAGTGGATAGATCAGATGTTTCTATCAGCATCTCATCTAAGTAGTCTACCATCTTGGAATGGAAGATGACAGTATTCATATGTCTGGCTAGATTCCTGTGTTCTAAAAGGTTGAAGCCTGCCTTCCCAATACTAGTGTAGGCCTACAGGAGAAAATTAATAAAACATATTTACCTGCTGTTACTTAAAACAAACTGACATAAAACAGCTAACAGAAATGCCAATACTATAATGAATGGCCTCTATTGTGGAAATATTTAAGAGTGAAATGAGAATTGTGCACAAAAATGA